TTGACTTTGGCGACTCGTACCTTCCATGTGTTGAAATGCTCCGACTTCTGTTGGTCGGTCAAGTTAGCCAAGGTCGGTTGTTCGGTTGACAATTGCTGAATGACGATTGTTGGAGGTCGGAATCGTCTTGTTCCGGTTTACCTCCTCCGAATTCCACAAAGCCTTAAGTTGGTCGAGTTCCTCCTGTTGTTCGGAGTCGACCGGCTTGGGCTGTTCAGTTTGTTTCGGTTGCTCGTCTATAAATTCTGTGTGAACTATAGACCGCAATGCTGTAGTTAGCCGGACATCGAAGGTCGGTTCTTCGTCCTCCGATGACGAATCATCCGAGTCGTTTATGCTCGGTTTATCCGTCTTACAGTGTCGGACTGCCAGATCGAATTCTTCGTCGTCATCTTCTTCGGATTCTTCCGAAGGTCGGTTATCGGAGTCCGTGTCCGCCGAATCGCTCGTACTTTGTATGTCCGAGTCGTCCGACTGATAATCTTCGAATTCGACTTCCGATCCGTTTTCGGGGTCGACTTCTGACATGTTTTCGAATCCGACCTTTGTGGTCGGTTCGAGTTGGTCGACTTTATCCGTCGGTTGGGTAGGTCGACTTGCTCCGTCCTGATTCTCAAGGTCGGTTGGCTGTGAGCCTATGTTGCTCAGCCATCGGATGCTCGTCTGTTGGGGCTTCCGAAAGCGATCTACCTTCCGTTCCTGTTGCGGAGGCGACGGTGACGACGGTCTGTCGTCCGACCAAGTTAGGTCGTGATGAGCTTTTATTGCTCGTACTACCTCGTCAATATTGTCTTGACAGATAGCACACCGATAGGGTTGATCGGTTTCCTCCGGGACTACGTTTCCTTGAGGCTTCGCCGGGCTACTCGCAAACTTCACATTGGTTGGAGTGTGCGCCATCAGTGGTGGTAACGGTCTAGGAACTTGCCGCGTTATGGCGGTGTCCTCGCCGTACCGTTGCCAAAATGCAGTCGTTGACGATTCTCCGTGCAACCTTACTCGCTGCATGTAGGCGAAAAGTTGGGAGCCTAGTTCCTGGCACGGCATTTCTAGCGGGGGTGGTATGGGAAGTCCGTATTCCATATACTGTCGATGGATCGGAATTCGTTCATCTTCCCATTCCCATGCTTCGTCCTCTATGTCGTTCGTGAGGGCGATTACCGGTTCACACGTTTGTTGTGCGTCCAGTATCTGGTCAGGGGTTACCGCTCCGTTCTGTTGCAGAGTGGTCACTATCTCCGACGTCCGTTGGTCGAGGAAGTGTCGAACTCCCGAGAACCAAGTTCGGTACTTTTGTCGTACTTCCTCTCGGTTCATGGCATCCGCGTCAGCGGATGCCTCTGGTATCGGGATAGACTTCAGTACAGTCCTGGCCGGTCGTAATGTACCGTCGCGTATCCGTCTCTGATAGTGCTCTATCACGTTATGGAGTGCTAGTTCCTCCAGCAGAGTGCGGTTCGTATCCCGGCAATCGCGGCAGATGTTACGTGTGGAGTTCGCCGGGTGATCAAGCCGACTAATCCGAACTTCGTTTCCTACCGTGTCCGATGCCTCTGGTATCGGGATAGACTACTACCTTCGTTCCTTCTGGTTGTTCCGGAATAGGAATCGGCGTCAGAATGAAGGTGAATTTCGAATGCAGGTAGTCGCATTCGAGTAGCACTGGGATGTCCGCTTCGGTCGGCTGGACGTGAAAAGTGTGATGGCTGGTAAAGCCCTGCATTGTTACAGGTGCCGTACAGCAATGAGACACTACGAAGGCGACTTGTCCGCCTACACCGAGTATTTTGGTGTAGTGTCCGAGAGGTTGGATCGTTAAGCCGTTCCTCTCGCAAAACCGTTGTTCGATGAGCGAGGTTTCCGCTCCGGTATCCAACATCGCCAGTGTGGGCGTGGATCCGACTTGGATTTCGTGTGTCCAAGCTCGAACTGTCTTCGGTTTCTTGTGTGTTCCCTTCTCAAAGGTAACTTCCCGCACCGTTGGTTTGATGGGGATTAACGACACCGGTCCGTGGTCGGCTGACTGTTGAGTTGAACCTTGTGTAGATTCGACTCCGACTTCAACCACTTCTTGTACCTCAGGTCGGTTAGCTACTCCGTCCTCCGGTATTTCGGCGGTTCCGAACCGTTGTGCCTGTGACAATATCCGTTCCTCCATTGAGACTTCTGTTGGCCTCAATGTCGACCACATGTAGTCGAGGTTGAGGAATGTTCGAGAACCAGCTACCGTTCTGGTCGGCTGCTCTCTTTGCTGAAAGAGGTCCGCTTCTCCCGGCCGAGTAAACGGGTACCTGTGCTTCCAATGGGACTGTTTCCCATTGCTCGAATCCTTCCGGTTCTTCGGTAAGGTCGATTGCTGCCATTGTTGCAGCGTATCTATCCGTTGCGCGTCCGGATGATACATTGGGGAAGTTTCTGTTGCCCCGGTGCGTGGATCGGCGTCCCGGTCCTCCACGTCTTGGGCCTCGTCTGGGCTGCTCGGTTGAGTTTGTCCTCACCGGCAATCCGGTCCAACTTCCGTGGCCGGGCCGTACTACGTCACTTTGTGTGACGGACGGCGCAGTCGCATTGGTTGCGCTGCTTGGGTCGGGCAATTCCTGCGTTCCGACCTCCGACGTTCCAGCGCCAAGTTGATGCGCTGGGTCGGTTGCCTCGAGTGCCTGTTGCATCCCGGGCCAAGCTTCGACGGTGCCATTGTTGGCGTACACGCCGAGCTGAGCGGCTAACTTCCGAGCCGTTTCCGCCTCCTTTGTGGAGGTCGATATCGCTTTTGCGAAATCCTCCTCGGAACTGTTTTCGTTCAGTCCGAGTAGTTGGAGGATGGTTGCTACCTGTTGATAGCCTTCCTCGATCGTCGTAGGAAAGTTCAATTCGTTCCGGTAATTTAGCGATTGGTTAGTCGCATTATCCTTGTCCGGTGGTTCGGTCGGATGTTGGAGGTCGAATGAGTCACCGGAGCTCATCGACCTTGGGCGTTTCCCGGGGAGTTACTCCGAGCTGGCCCGTTGTTGGGCGACGCCAAGCCGAAAGGCTGATGTGGCGGTAACTGTTGCCGCCGTTCCGGAGATCCTTGTTGACCTCCACCGCTATTCCTGCGGTTGCCACCCGACCCATTTCCTGGGCCGGTCTGCCGGTTTCCGTTACCGGCGCCGCCCGAGCCTCCACCTTGTTGGCGTTGGCGCGGGGGCGGCACGACCAGTGCATAGTTCGGGTTGGCCGATCCCAACGGTCCTCCCGTCTGGTATCGCGTATGCCAATCCTCGAACCAACGGCGATTCGGGTTGTCCTGTACCCGAGTGCCGATGAACGCACATCGTGCTTGGTCGTGATTGCTGAACTTGCAGAAGTTGCAAGTAAAGCTGTCCGCTAACGACCATTGGAGGAACAGTTGTTCCATCCGATCCACGTAGGTCGTGTATTGCCGAGCACTTTGTTGTGCCTGGGGAGGTCGGTTCCCTTGTTGGTTGCCGCCTCCGCCGCGGTTAGGAAAGTTGCCGCGACCGCGTTTCCCGCCGCCACGTCCTTTTCCGCGACCAAAACCTCCGCCGCCATATCCCTGTGTGGGAGGTGGGCCGTATGCGGAGTATCCCTGGTTCGGGTTCTGTCCGTAACCAAAACCTGTGTTGTTTTGGTTACCGCCCGAGCCATAACCTGGGCCTCCGTAGTTGTTAACGGGGTTTCCAATTCCAGGTGCCGGGGGATTCAGGTTTGCTGCCGCCGCGCTCGCCCAAGTCTGTTGCTGGACTGGTGCTTGTTGCACCGGTGGCGTCGGCGCCGGACTCCGTTGTCCGTACTGTGCCGTTGGAGTTTGGTATCCCGGCATCATATGCGGCTGATATCCAGTCTGTTGTGGTATCGCCGGAGGTGGAGTCGGGACAGGTGCAGGTGTTGCTGCCCGGACTCTGGCGTAGTCGCCATCGCGTTGTCTGCGCACCTCGTACATTTCCTTGCCATTGACGAAGCTCCGTAAGTAGTCGCGGAACTCGATTGGTGTCGCTGGCATCCTGATTTCCAGGGCTTCCCGTAGTTTGGGTTCGTGGATATTCTCCTTGAGATGGTACATTATTATTTGATCGGTAATCGTGGGGACTTGGGACTTCATGAACATCATTGCGTCGTAGTACTGTTCCGGCGTTTCTTCGCCGAAACGAAATATCCGTTTGTTAATTCGGGATATCATGTTCACTTCTTTGTTCTTGTCCGCAAATCGTTGCTCGAATTTGGTCAGCCATACGTTGACTGGCCATCCACCGAGTGGTTCTCCGGCGGCTTCGAGGGTGTGCCATTCTTCCGCTTGGCCTTCTAGTCGGGCTACCAAGTCGGACATGAAAGTCTGATCGTCTTCATACCATTGTTGGGCTTGACGATACAGGCTTCGGATCTGTTTAAGCCACCCGTGAAGTTTGGTGTGGTCTCCGTCGAACGGCGGTAAGGGTTGCCGACGTCCGTGAGACATTGCTCGTACCAAGGCAATGTGTGCCGGGTCCTGTGCCGGGGGAATCGGGTATGCCACCGGCGCAGCTTGTTGTGCAGCCGGGGCGGGTGGCGGGTTGGCATATGGTACGTGACCTTGTTGGTCTTCGTATGCCCCCTGTTGATAGGCTTCTTCGTCGTAGCTGTCGTATTCGTCCTGTTGCGGATACCGAGCCTGGGCCTGGTCTTCGTGACGAGGCCGTTGTGGCTGTCCTCCATGCTGTTGTGGAGGGGGCGCTCGATTTTGTCTCGGCGCCTGCGGATAGAATCCACTCGGTTGGTTCGTAGAGTCTTCCGTACCGGTTGGGCTGTGTCCCCTGAACCGGCATCCGACCTTGTATTAGTCGGTGTGGGGGCACCCGACCTTGTTGGTCGGAGCTGTCCTCTCCGTTCTGTCCGTCCTGCCGCTGGTCGGTCGTGTTGAATGACCGAGCCCTTGCTCGTTCAAAGTCGAACGGCGGGTTCTGGCGGAGGAAGTTCGGATTGAGTTCGTCCTTGGTGGGCGATATGCTTCTATACCCGGTCTCAGTGACGGGACTGGGAGACGTTCGGCATCTGTTGTCCGATCTCCTCTCGCGTTAGGTACCGGCGCGTACGAGGTGCTGGTATATGCACCGGCAGACGTCGTTGTCGCCACGTTCGACGTTGGCACCCGCGGTGCCGCGGTCGACGTATTGTGTTCCGGTTCCGGAGCAGCCGGAACTGTTGGTGGTTGTGGGATTGTTCCCACGCTTGGGTCGGTCGTTACGACTCCGACGAAGTAGGAGGTGTTGTTCTCCTTCCTCGCCATCTCCTGGGTCGGACTAATTCCCCACAGGATGTCACTGATTGTTCGTGACGGCTGTTGATCCTGTGCCATGGACGTTCGATATGAGGGAGGTTCAACCCGGCTTTGTTCCCGGTATGGGGGAAGTTCGACCTGGCTTTGTTCCAGGTGTTTCTTCTCCTCCCTCAGACACCGTGTTTCCGTGTCCATCTCGTCCATTTGCCGCATCATCTCTGTGAGATTGCGGGCGGCTTGTTCGCCGAAGTCGTATAGTTCGACTTCACGAGCTTCCAGGTAAACGATGCGGCTGTGTTGCGCCTCGTTTACCTTTCGAGCTTCGTTCAGGTTGTACTCCAGTTGAGCTCGGATTTTCTGTTCCTCCTTGAGGACTTGGTTCAGTCCGTGAACCTGGTCGGCTAGCTGAGCGTTTGCTTCCACCAGGTCGACATCGGCTGTCCTTTGGTTAGGAAAGCCCATGTCCCGAGCGTTCGCATCGATGAATCGACGTCCCGTTCTAACAAGGAGAAGTTCCATTTCCGACTCGAGTTCGTCGGTTCGTTGCGTTAGACGGTCGATCTCGTTATCGGCCTTCTTGAGTTCCACCACATACCTATCGACTTCGTTTCGATAGACTTCGGCCTCTTCGTTGGCCTGGTTGAGTTGCTGGTGAAACGCTCCTGCTGCCTGTTCCGACTCGACCAGTGCGGTCTGAACATCGGCCAGGTCTTTTTGTGCTTCTTCGAGCGCTTTGTGCGCCTCGTCAAGCTCCTTTTTGATTTCGAAGACGGCTGCGGTTGAGCGTTCCAACATGCCAGTAAGTATGGCGATTTGGTCGTCTTCGTATCGACACGGTAAATCAGCTCGCTTCAATATGGCGTTGAGCCGGTCGATTTCCCGTTGTTGGGTGGCGATGCCCTTGTTGGCATCGGCCATGTCTCGTTCCCATTTCCTCCGTTCGAGCTTATGGGTGTCCTCCGAGTTTCGGAGGGATCCTTCCGCCGAGTCGACGATTTTGTCCGCCAAAACGATCTGTGTGATCAGTTTGTGGCATCTCGCTCGGAGTAGGTCGAGATCGTTGATCTTTTCGGGCGGTGTTGCCGCGATCCACTTCTTAGCCGTGTATTCGAGTGCACTGGCTTGGTATCCAAGGTTCTCCTTATCGGACTTGGGTGGTGTGGTAAAGAATCCATCCGCACTACTCGGTCTTGATGCGTTTGTTGCATCAAAGACTTCGTTTGTCGGTGACGGAGTACTCCCAAGTTCGCCAGTTCCGAACATTGGTGGTGACACCCTTAGATTCAGGTCGACAGGTCGACTTTGTGTCGCCTTAGTCGACTTCACCGTTTGTTGAGCTTCAATCGCTCGAGTCGACTCGCGTCCGGTTGGCGAAGGTCGGCTCAGCGGTGAAATTACCCGTTTGTTGGGTGCCGGCATGTTAGTCGATGATCCGGCTGGGTGAGGGCCGCTTCGTGGCGGTACCTCGGAATCTTTCGTTCCGGCCGGTAGTTTGGTCGGCTGGACGGCCGCATCCGACTTTGTGTCGGCTGGTTGCCGTTCCAGGCTAGTCGGTTGCTTGTTACCGACTTCCTTTTCTCCGACCTCTGTGGTCGGCATCTGTTGTCCGACCTTTGAGTTTGGCGAAATCCTTCCGACCTGTGTGGTCGGTTGGACGTTGCCGACTTCTGTTGTCGGTTTCTCCGTTCCGTTCGATGTCGGTTGTCCGACCTCTTTCGTTAATGGTAGGTCGACCTTCGGTTGGTCGACTTCCTTTACTGAGGGCTGGTCGACCATTTGTTGGTCGGTTTCCCTAGTCGGTGATTGGTCCCTGACTTCTTTGGTCGGAGATTTTCGCTCGACCTGTGTGGTCGGCGATTTCCGTCCGACTTGGTTAGTCGGTATGTCCATGTTGGACGAGGTCGGCTTCGGCACTTCCGTCCTGTTGGGTGATTGCCGTCCTAGCTCGGTGGCCTTTGTGACCGTTACCGAGTCTTGAGCTCTGTGTGAGCTCGACTCCAGGTCGGCATGAGACAATGTGGTCCCTGCCTGCAGCTGTTCCACATCCCCCCCCGGTCGGGTGGGACGGGGCTGCTACGTCAGCTGGGGCTTCCAGGAATGTTTTATCCCTGGCGTCCTCGAAACTGTCATCCGAAGTCGGATTCGAGTCGGCAAGGAGGATCCGTTCGTTGCGTCTCTCCTTCGCTTCGGCCGACTTAGTCGAGTCGGTTGAGGACGGCTGACTTTTATCCTGACCGGCGTACCGGAGTGAGTACTTTCCGGTCATATTCGCACGCCGAGAATAGTCAGTGTTGAACTTTCTCGCGTACTCATTTTCTCTCTGGTTCGACATTGTGGTCAAATCAGGTCGGCTCTGGTGGAGCCTTAAAAGGTTTTATCGGTTAGAAAGAGGAAGTCGAACAATCTTCTGTGTGAAGATGTTCGGCAAAGTCAGGAACGTCTTTTAGTTCAGGAACTTCCGAGGGTCAGGAACGTCCGGTGAGATGTTGTTGTTGTTGTTGATGTGTCTGTTGGTGACTCAGTACACAGGGTTAATATACAGTACTATGGTACAGTACAGTACGTTATAGTAGTACGGTGTAGTACGTCCTATACTACTGTGCTGACCAGTATGACGTAACAGGTTAAGTGGTCTTGCACTTCTGCCTACGTCACAGAATGCGAGCCGCGTGCAAAATTTACAAAAAACGATGAATCACGCCTATGTTAGGCTATGGGAACTTTCCCCTGCACTCTGATTGGCTGCTTCTTAAGTACTGATAAGCGGTCGTTATGACGTCACAAGGAAGTTCGAGAATTTTCGCGCTATTTCCCGCGAGAAAAACAAATTATTTTTGCTCGGCTAGAAAGTTTATCTAGTCGGATTTTTGAGTTTTTAACCGTTAGAAATTAGTTTTATGAATTAAGAAAATTTTCTGATGGTCGAAGGACCGTTAGAAATCGAAAATAAGAGAATTTCCGACCTGTTGCCGGTTAGCCTTTGTCTAACTGTCTAGACAGGTTCGTTGACCTAGCAGGTCGGTTCTCGACCAAAAGCAAAATTCCGAGTCGGTTTCTCCGTCGAAAATTACTTTTTAACCGTTAAAAAGTTAAATTTTACGGATAGAAATCGTTTTCTACCGTTAGAAAATGAAATGCCGACCTAGTTTCGGCTAAAATCGACCTAGAACCGTTACTTTACCCGTGTCGGTGTCGGTGTCGGTTCCGCTCGATTTCCTCCGTCCGAGGTCGGAAATCCGTCGTTTCCGAGTGAAAATCCGCCGTTAAAGTTGCGGGTCGGTGTTCAAACCGATGGTCCCCGTATTATAGGATTAATCCGTTCGCGCTGCAGACTCTCGTTCGAGTCTGATCCGTCAGTTGGGAGAAGAAAATGTCCGTGCTGTTGGGAATGTGCTCTTCAGTGTGGAAGAGACAGAGAAACTGTGCTCACCAGCTGGGTGAGAATCACTTCAGTGATCCTCGTTTTCCTCAGCTGTAAGACGGCAAGATCAGTCCGATCAAAGTCAGGGCAGAGATTACTTCAGTAATCGATCTGACAGTGACTTTCAGGTTCCTCACGAGTTCTCCGTAAATGAAGCCTTCACCGTCTCCTCAAAGGTTCCGTAGGAAGGAAAACCAGAAAAGATGCTGCTACCATGTAACAGATGAGCACGAGGAGATCACGAGTGATGCTTTATTGACAAATAAAGGGGGAACAATGCTGCGTAATAGCAGGAAAGCAAGAACATAGCAGTGATGGCTAAATAGCAAGTGTGTGCTAGGAAGGTTCTTGAGCGTCTTCAAGGCGTGTAAAGAAGCAACTGGCGGCAACACGTGCTGTGTGCCATCAGCTGTGTGATGATGCGCAGACTGGACTCTATCCAACGCGAGCGTATGAACGCTGAGTCATACTGCGAGAGAGGAACGAGAGAGCAAGTGTGGCTCAGTGTATGCGCTGCGTATATCCGCTTCAGCGGATGAGTGCAGTGCAGCAGCACACGTACGTACAGCGAGAGAGGTGGTAACGGCAAGCAATGGTGCAAGTACGTCCTGTGTGGACCGTACGCACCAGGCGCAGTCGTACGCCTCTGACAATATTAATCGGAGCATAAATGGGAAATTGGTCATTCTTTTAAAAAAAGGCTATTGACGGAAAGCATGGGAAAATCAAAGAGATATTGCTTAATTAAATTACATCTCGATTTACGTAATAACTGCTGCAGCTGTTCTTAAATCAGATTATGTTGTCCAATTAAAAAGGTTAAATGTTTGTAACGTACTTATTTACTTACTTACTTCTTTACTTACCTTCCCAATTAACGTACATATCGAATTATTTTATTCAGTGCCCGGCAGAATCTGGATCGCCCTACAATGGTTTACGACAACACCATGGTTTACGAGCATGTCTTGAATTTCTAGAACAAGTTTTGTTGTTTTTAGTAGCCAGTAAAATTATCTATCAACTGCATCTTAGTCTTTCAGTGGTAGTCGGTGCGACGAGTGGATCACGAGGAACAAGCAAAAAGCCGGGAAAGCTGTCCTGCTCTGCCACCCGGTACAATTATTAACAAACCCGCCTATTTTCCGGAGGGATTTCAGGGATCCCGCTTATTGAATTAAAAAAAAAAACATCAAGTACTCGTCGACCGCACGAAACGAGCATATTCAAATACCCGTGGTTTCGAGATCATGAGACGTTTTCTGGAGACTTGTGGCGGCGAAGGGCTTTGGCAATCTGGCACTACAGGGCATAACAGCGTATCATCGGTCGGTTTCGGTAAAAGTGCGAGTTCTTCAAGCCAAAGCATAACCGAATTCTACATAATTAACGGTAAGCGGAATTTCCGTTCGTGCACTAAGTGCGTGAAAAGTGAAAACGACGGTGAAATCTCGGACTGCTGCTTCACAATGCCGAACACCGGAGGATTTCCCCAATGTAAAGACAGGAAAATCCTAAGGTATACAGATCATCTAAATACTGCCGACATAATGAACAACATGCGCCCCGGGAGTTTTTACTTAAGCTGCGTATGATATACCAAAACCTGATTCTGCACCAATAATCACTGTTTTGCTGGAAAATTTATTAGACGCTTACGGTGTGAAGTGCAGACATTTATTGTTTGCGTTAGCAACACGCCTGTCACCAGAAGCGATTTACGATGGGAGCTGTTTGATCGTAGCACACAATCTTTGTCATAAAATCTTCAATTGTCTGTCGTTAGCATCTTCCTGTTTTTTCATTAACAGAACTGCCTTTGGCCTTATAGTCTGTCCATTGCTGTAAAAAAAAAAGCTGACTGGAGTATTTTTGCTGCTTTGAAGAGGGCTATTGTGGAAAAATGGAATCGATACCGATATATGGTTGGCTAGTCGCACTAGCAGCCGCCATGGGTGGATTTCTCTTCGGCTATGAAATGGGCGACATTGGGTAAACACCTTACCTTTAATGTGAATAACTACCCTACTCGTATGGTCGTTTAAGTGAAACACTATGGTATGTGAATGAACGATGGTCGTTTAGGTGTACTTAGTAACACCCGGATTATCAAGTTTCAAAAACCGATTTCCTTCCGGTGTTTTTCTTTAAGCGATTAAGCTGAATGTGCCCTTAACAAAGTACTTGAAATTTTTCAAAAACTTGAACCGCTTTGTTGCAACTGCGTCGGTAAAAAAACGTGACGACACGTTAAAGCCACGCCATGCGAGCCACACGGCCCACACCACTACGCCAGATAACTCAAGTAGCTGCTAAACATGCGCGGCTGCGCTGTCGTTTTTATGTGACAACTGTTTACCATGATATTGGATAAACTTACCGACCCATGTTAAGAATTATATACACCACAAGAATATACATATTAGTGAGTAATATAATCGTCCGGATAAAGAGAATAAAATTTAAATAGTCATAAATGATTAATTAATTTTTTTGCGAATGTCTATTTACTATTTACCCACCGGGATTATATCCTAATTGGATATATCATATATCCTGGCGTTTACTCTGGTTGTAATTGTACATTATGATCTGCAGGCAAGTAATGGGCATGAACAGCTTCGGTGTGGAATTTGGCATCCGAGAAGACGAAATGCTTAATGTTACCCTAGACGACGGCACACTCCTCAATGGCACCGACGACCGTCCCGCGATGCAGTACGAAAACGGTACACTCTGGGTGGACTTGGATGGTTCCTACCTGGAACTGACCAACATTACCCTGCCGCGGCTGCCGGAGACCCAGGACGCCCCGGACATCATGGGATCCATCCCGTTTACCTTCCTGGTCGGCTGCATCGCGGGCGCCGCCTGCGCCTCCATTCTGGCTGACTTCCTCGGCCGGCGCTATTCCATCTTCACCGGTTCCGTGTTTTATATGGTAGGTGGGACCATGCAGACCGGCTGCAGTCATCTGGTTACATTGTACATCGGCCGGGTGGTCTCCGGTATTGGTGTGGGACTGATGAGCGCCGTAGTGCCGTTGTACATCTCCGAGACATCTAAGACATCCATCCGTGGACGGTTAATCACCACCTTCCAACTGATGACGGCTTTCGGGGTGCTGGTGGCCTGCTCCGTCAACGCGGCGATTCTGATGGTGCTCCGCGGGGATTTGCAGTGGCGGCTAGCGCTGGGAATGCAGCTGATTCCGGCGGCGGTTCTGTGGCTGCTGATTATCCTCTTACCCTTTTCTCCACGCTGGCTAATTGATCGTAACCGCGATGACGAAGCGCTTAAGACACTGGCTAAACTGCGCAACCTGCGGCCGGATAATGAGAAGCTCTTGGCCGAATTCGCTACCATCAAAGAGAATGTAAACTATGAGAAGACAGTGGGTAACGCCACGTGGCTGGAACTGCTACAGCCCGGCATCCGCAATCGCGTGGCCCTGGGGATAACCCTGCAGTTTTTCCAGCAATGGACCGGTTGCAACGTAATGCTGTATTATGGCGGGAAAGTGTTCAGTGCCATTGGGATGCCGGTTATTCATGCCTTTGTCACGCTGATAATTCTCAATGCTGGAGTTAATTTCCTCTCAACATTTTTTGCCATGTGGTTAGTGGAACGGATCGGGAGAAAACTGCTGCTGGTTATTGGTGGTTTTCTAATGTGTCTGTGCCATGCCCTTATCGCAACGTGAGTCCGGAGAGAATCCCGAGTGTAGCGAAAATTGATTTGTACGCGGTGTTCTTTGTAGATTTCTCGGGTTGTCGGTAAACGTACAAGAGGATCTGGTATACGGCGCATTAGTGTTCATATACTTGTTCACCATGGTCTTTGCTGCCACCTGGGGTCCCGTGGTGTGGGTGTACCAGTCGGAGATCTTTCCCATGCGGGTGCGCGGCAAAGCCACGGCACTGTGCACAATGTCCAACTGGACGTGGAACGCTATCGTTTCCAAATTGACACCCATTATGCTGGAAGATATAGCGTATTATACCAACGTGGTAAGCCGCTTGATATGGCTTCTACTTTCAACTGTCAAATGCTGTTACAGTATCACGATGCAAAGTTTGCATTATAACGTTAGGCACACTGAACAACGCCGTCTTGGATTGCAGGTATTTTCCTCTTTCTGCTTAGTAATGGCCATTTTCGTATTGATTTTTGTGCCGGAGACTAAGGGAAAGAATCTTGAGCGCATGGATGAAATCTTCGGATCCATCCCGGAAGCAGAAGCTCACCTGGACATTAATCGCAACAAAAAGATTCGCAACATCATGGCACAGGAAGCCGACAAACTGGACGGCGAGCAGCTATATGAGCTGCAACCAGCCGCTCAAAAAGTCGTAGTGTGAGGTAGCATTTGCTGGTGCACAAGCTGAATTTGTTGCTGATCTCAAAAATAATGATACCTAGGCCTTTTGCTTGCTCTGTAAGGAAATATTGGACGTGCCTGAATTAAGCAAAGTTTCGTCGTTCAGTCATTTAAAGAGCGTTGTACTGCCTGTGTTGATTCACAGCACATACTCAATCCTGTAGGGAAGTGACATAATTATACAGATCTGTAGAATGTACTATATACATGTACCGGTACATAACTATAATAATTATTATTGAACCAGTGAGATTTGTACTGGAAGGATAGTGATAGTTGTTAGCGCTAACAACACGCATGCAGCTGAAAAAGCGTGAATGCTTCATGTAATCAACCGGAGCGCAGCGAAGGTTTTCTAATTAGCCGTACCACTTGATAAACGCCGTACGATGGGTTAAACGCCTCCCGTGGTGGCTGCCCATGACACAGAGCCTCCGTAGAGATTTAACATTGTGCTATGCAGAGTTGCGCTGCAGTCTGCAATGGTTTCTCTGCTAGTAACACTGCAGTTCTTTACTCTTTTGTGTTCAATTTTAAATTATTGAAATTGATTTCAATTACATTAAAATAAATTTTTACTAAGCACGATGGAGAATTGTGTGTTCGATATAAGGATAATCCTTCTTTGTTGCGTTTGTAAAGCTGTACAATACAGTACTGTAGCGTGTAGCCTCTACGGTCTATCCATGGCGAACTTGTGAGCAGATTTTGCTGACTTTACTTACTGTCTTTACATTCGGAACCCGGAATGCCAAATCATCCAGCAAAAGAACAGCAGATCATCCAGGAACAGTACACCAAGCTATCAAGAGAGGGAACTTCTGGAGTTGGGCAAAATAAAGTACTTATATAAAAGTGAGGAAGTACGCGATGGAACATTATACATCCATTATCTCTACCGTACAATACTTTGAAAATTACAAAGGGAAACCATTTTACTCCACCGTTTCCTTGTATCACTGCCGTCACTCGGTTGCAGTGTGACCTTAGTCCTGTACGACAGTACATTTGGTAAAATATGTAAGCGTCATGCTCAGCCACAAGTGACCCACAACGTCACCCTCATCGAGTGTCGACGGAAGTCTACGGAAAGGGATGAGTAGAATGGTTGTCGCCTTGTATTAGTCATTATAAAAAAAGCTTACATGCACAGGTATATATCAACTAAACAGAAATGTGCTTCGAATTTCACGCAAGCAGGAGTTCCTGTTTATGCAAAGTTGTAAACGAACTCGGCACCATGTACAGTACTAGGTCACATTTGCTCTCCGAGTCCGCTCTGAGTATTGAGAGTTACTTGCACGCGCAACTGATACAGCGATAGCCCTGCGAAAGTTTCTCGGACAAATTCACTAAAACGTTCGAACGGCGCGTCCTAAACGAATCTAGTTGACAAGTTACTGTCAAGAAACACCACGTAAATTACTTCGCCGATTCTTTGGTATTCTGGGGCTTTTTTGTCGCCCTTCGATAAACACACTTCCGCAGTTTCGCGACCGGACCAAGTATCGTCACATGACCTTCGTAAACGTCATTGCAGCTGGATAAAGTGTTTCATGTGAGGGTACCAATTATTAATGTTGACCAGGATATAGTCATGCAGCTCTCCATTTTTCAGAAGATGGCGAGTTATGTAGTTCGCTTCCACATGGGCTTGAGCCTTGAAAGAATTCGCTTATATACAATTGTCAAAAAAGCGTGGAAACACGTGAATTAAACGGCAGGATGCTAATACAACCCGAGAGAAGCTTCAGAGTCCTACTCGTACCTGAGAATCGTTGCTTAAGAATTATTATAATTATAATAAATGTCAAAAATCTACCACCCGGCAGCGGTAGTTATCATGGTCTATCGTAATTGTGCTGAAACTTTGCTCGTGTTCTACAAAAGAAAACGTCGACAACTGGTGAAATAACGGCAAAATCGGAAACATATGCAATCACAGAAAAGATGTTGCACAGCTTTGCTGACTGCTGTGCTATGTTATTAAAGTTTCGTTTTGAAATGTCTGTTAAACAATGCATATGAAAATGTTTTTAAAAATTACTAAGTAACCAAAAAATAATAGAGTAGTTATCAAAACTTCCTAAACTCGGAAAATATGCTCTGCCAAGCGCTGCGCTCCGGTCTTACAGCGAACCCATCGGTGCATTTCCTAGTTTATGATAAATTTTATTCCGTGCCTGACTACGGAACCAGCGCTTAACTTGTACCTGCAAAGTGTGAATTTGAAAGAAATATAGCTGCATAAATGCAATATTATCAATAATATCAGAGTTGTACTTTGTACAATGTACTGTGATTCGGCCGCATGTTTCCGCTGGTTGTTAAATTTATAATGTAATGTCTTTTGTAGTTGTTTAATTGTTTCTGTATTCGCACGTTTAACGAATAAAAAAATGTGCTCGGTACGTATTTGTACAGTCTATGCACAGTAACGCACTTCGGTAACTTTGCGGGAATACTTTTATGCGGCACATTACATTGATTACAACACAACTTACTCCACGCCAAATACTTTTATGACGCTAATAAAATCATAAGGAAGTCATACGTTAATAAAAATATGTGTCATATTCACCACGTATATTACGGATGTAATGACAAAGAAAAACATTTAATCGATCACCATGTGCAATTTTCTGGCGCTTCCCGCCCCTGGAGTTGGCGTTACCGAGATCACCGACACAGTTGCAACCACATTCGTAAACTGCGTCCGTATGTGATTATGTGACGCTTTGTGTAATTCTATAAGACGGCGGAGACAAGCAGTTAATATTTATAATATATCAACTGGATCACAATTTGAATTAGTGTTTTATCGCTGAAGTCTACGGGTATATCGATCTTGCAACAGACTGCATTGATTAATTTACTCCGCTTTACCATAGTTCTATCTGACTTTGCATAAGAGGATTAGGAGCACTTTATGCTGGACACTGAAGGAAGAAGCTGGACATCGACGTACGGGGTACATGCATACGTACGTTGCGCATGCAGGACGTATGAGATATCTGTATGACTTGCAATATGTCCGACGCTGGCGAAACCTTTCTTTTCTTATGAAAGCATATTTATGCTGCTTTCGTGCCAGCAAGTGTGTCTTTTGAGATGTCAGTTGACAGGTTTACCATACGTGTGCACGTTTTATAAGTTGTAAATTCGATTCGAAGCTACCACCTCATAAATTTTTCAAACAGAAATCTTCTGCACAATATATTACCAGGAAATGGCAATAATTATTTGAGGTGAGTAGGCACCGAATATATTTCCTTCACGCATTTGCAAGATACGTATGCGCTATTTCCATATAATACTTTACGGTAAGTATAGACATTGAAGACTGGATCTTCGTATTAATATTATGGAACCATATATCCGAAGTTTAGGAATACGAGAAGCGTAAAATGTTTCGAATTCCAAAATCCGTAAAACGGTATTTGTTATTCCTGGTTCAACCTTAACAAGATGGGGACACTGGTGACTGTGATTCAGTAACCCACGGCGACTGTACCGACCTATTGACGTTTAATAACACTTAACGCACGCTGGTGCGCTGGCAGAAGTCATTGCTGGCAGACGGTTTTCGCCTTGTCCCTGTTATATCAAGGTCACCGTTCTCCATAATGGCCGTTATTATCAGTATTGCCATTTCTGCAACAAAAGGCATCCGCAGCGTAATCGTCGTGGGTTTATTATTCCTGTTGATGCTGCTTACCTTATCCCTGGCCAGGTATCGTGCATTTAGCTATCGAGAAATATTCCCGACATCGGAAACTCTCAGGTAAATGCACTACGCTACACTGCAATGTGACTGCATAGCATCGCATAGTTAGCTTATGAAATACCAATAGCTGGAAAAAGGTATCGAGGACGCGGGATAGAGTGCAGTGCGCTAAACTGCTATGGAATGCGAAACTGCTATAGAGTGCTAAATTGCTATATGATTTTTTTATTATCAACTTGTACAAGCCAATGCCATTTACGTTAAAACTTTAAATACCCAATAATCAGAACAAGAAAAATAACTCTTCTAACTCTCGAGAACACTCGACCGTCCCCAGGACAGAAGCCGCGTTTCCGCGCTGAATTTCCACACTTATACGTTGCCACAAATACTGAACAGCGCGCGCTTCTCCCGTTTGTTCTTTGATACGCCGGCCGACTTCATTGATGAACTGGTGGGTACTTTCGCTACAACTTCCCATAGTTTCGAGTGCCACTGGCTGGAAAAAATGCCGATCAGTGAGTTCGGAATATAGGTTCCGCTTCCGCACTTCCGCGTCTTCAGCAGCCGATCCCGCTGCTTCTGAACAGCCAGCTATATACGAAGTAGCGAATGTGTCACAAACTGTTACATCCCATATCAGAGGGAGGCCATTTCTCCATGGGAAGAGTGATAAGCCGTCTGGCCGCTTCCCGTCCAGTCTGCACAGTCCGGGAGGCTCCAAGATTGACGGCACCTTTGCTGATCCCAGGCTACGCTGAATCACGCTATTCAGACTCGCATGCCTCCTGAACCTTCCTTGGCTTTTGACGCACGACAATCCATGTAAGCCGCATGTATCAACCATTTCACCACACCGACATTTATGCTCTTTACAAATAGGCGCCCCCATCCGCAAAGCAACAGCGATCCGCAGACCGGCATCGTCCAGCAGTGTGCCAAGGCTGGCGACCGGCAATGCAAACAACCAGGCACTGGCATCCTTAGCAGAGGCAGCCAACAGACGAGCAGAGGCAATAACGTCGGCGCTCTCTTTTAAGGCTTCCAGTTTCCCGGCAGTCAGCATATCCGACCACAAGCGTTGGTTGCTCCGGTCTTCCATCGCAGGTGCACTCTTTCCTGTACGTTCTTCCCAGCACAGCTCAACGTCAGACCGCTCGTCGGGGCAATCTTCGGGCACAATAGTGCGTACTAGCTCGTCGGTAAAATAAAGCGAGGAGAGATAGGCCGGCGTAGCGATTTCTTCGGCTTTAGGCAAACCCAGGCCACCTGATTTTACCGGCAGAGAAGCTTGCACGTAAGTACAGTCGTCCATCACAACATTCGTAATCTCCTCAGCTTTTGACCTAATCACTTCGTCAAACTCCCTGAGCTTCTCTGGATATTTGTAGCAAGCGGCCGCTCTTAGAGTGTACATGAGTCGCGGTAATGACAGACTGTTTCTTAGGAGAAATAACGCTTGCTGCGCCGGCAAAACGCTTAATATAAAAATTCAGTTCTGTTGGTTTATCGCAAGTCAGTCTTACCGAAAGCCAAGCTGCTGTGAGTAACAGTAAATGATGCGTAAAAAATGCCCCAATAATGTGATACCATACCAACTGTCACTGCCACGATAAGTGAATGACCTGACTTATAATAAGTCAGACTGTTGATAAACAACCGAGTACGTGTATGCATTCTCACATCGCACATGCAAGAAAAGCGCGCGAAAAATCAAAAATGCATAATTTGTTTGTCAAAAATATATCACTTCAGCAGGCGACTGTTACAGCTTCACTTGAATTTTGAAAATGCCGCGCAAAAGTAAGCGCAAATTAGCAATAGACCTGATAGAAAGGTTAATTTTGCAAACTGCCGCATACAGCAGAACAAGTTCTTTACTTCAACCGGATGATGACACTTCGCTATCTATTTTTTCCCGCGCCAGGGACGATGATGAATTACGCTATTAATTATTCGGTTTTATCTCGAGCACACCCGCTATCCCGATCCCCGATTAACAGTGCCAAAAAGTGCTCATTTTACTTTCCTTGCGCGGATTGTAGGCAAAGCAGTTCGAACTGGTGTCGACATTTAACTTACATGTGTTAGCAGTAATCCGATAAAATACCAATAATCGCAAATAATAACGAATAAAAAAAAACAGCAATCAGCTTACTCTAAATATTTAAACTGCACAGTTTTTGTGTAAAGCATTGAACGAAATTGTTGGCAATTTTGTTTACACTGGTGTTGGTAATAATGCCACAAATTTCCATACGTACAAAACAACTTGGCAATGCTAGACTGAATTGGATAAGTCAACGATGCCATACGGTAAATCTACTCTAGACTAGATTATCTTTTGGCATGTTTGCCTTAAAGGGGGCATGTGTTGCCGATATGTATCATATTTTGATATCCAATCTGTGGTCTTCTTCTTATCTCATGGTGATTCACATTTCATAACTCATATCTGCCCAAGCGTTGGGCACACTGGCCACATCAGAACTGAAGGACCTAAATGAGTCTGTCAGTTTTTTGATTTGGCCAATTTTACCGTCCAAGCAGTGGCCGATGGACGAGTCCGTAAGGGGAGCACCGAGCAGTTCCAACGTCTCTGGGGTTATCCTCTTAATACCAGGTGCGACTGCGGCAAACCGGTCGTATATGTCTTGTTGTTCCGCTTCAGACCCGCCATAAACATACAGCTCGCACTTTGCGAAGTTGAGTTCTAGACCGATTGTTGGCGCATCATTACAAACTCTGATAAAGACTTCCAAAACCACTTCTGGGTCTCCTCCTGCTGTCCCATCGTCGAGAAACCAGGCACTGAGATCGGACTAGAGACTTTTTGCCAGCTTGTACGAGGCAAGGCAAAACAGCAACGGGCCAAGTGGGTCACCTTGCTGCACCCCATGGGCGGATGGCATCGTAGTTTCGCCGCAGAACAAGGTAGAGGAATTCCTATAACACTGGGAAATGAAATGGAAGTATTGCGGTAATTTGTCAGCAGCTTCTTTCAGAACGACATCGCGACGAATGGTGTTGAACGCGTTACGAAAATCAAGCTTCAACAACACGGAAGGGCTGGCTGGGTGGGCTCGAAGAAATTTCCGGGTGGCATGAACAGCTGCTTCTGCTCCTCCCGGTGTTCCGTAGCCAAACTGCACTGGGCGAGAAAAGCCGCCCAGTTCCGACTGTACACGTCAGCTAATCAATTTACCACACAGGCGTCTTATAGTGCAGCCAATCGCTATGGGCCGTATCCCGCCCGCTTTCTTGTTGAAAGGTATCAACGTGGCGCCAAAAAGCACTGTGCGGACGCTATCGGGAATCGGGTTGAAAACTACGTGATTCACTAACTTTGTAAGCGCCGCTAAAAACACTTCTCCGCATTCGCCAGGTACTTTAACTAACTCTTTTAAGTGCTGTGCTCGCAGTCCGTCAGGGCCAGCTGAAGAACCAGCAGGGAAAGATTTCAACGCGGCTAAAACTTCTTCTGCCGTGAAATCTTGGGGAGAGCCAGCTGGAGGTGCAATGGGAAAATCCAGATCTGCAGGGGGACCTGGGTGTTTTTCCTTAAGAGAATTAAAAACTTCATCTGTCACCGCTGCCACACAGTCGTCTGACGTTAATAGTTTCACAGCGCCACTAATATCGCCATCTTGTAGCTTTGCGTTGACGGCCCTTCTCAGTGCTTCATCGTTAGACCGCTTCTTTTTTGATTTCTTTGGCTTGCTACTCAGACTGGTGCCTTGTAAATTTGCTTTCACGGATGCTGCTAACGTAGGGCCTCGACCAGAGTGCGACGGGGGAGCGTGTAGGTTCTCTAGGGCAAAAAGCAGCAGTTTTGCCCACGCGTCGTCATCGTTCTTTTCGACGCAGTCGACGAAAATCTTGCGTAAGGCTTCCGCACAGGCGCGTCTAGCTCCCGCAGGCACATGGCGGAGGACGGCATGGATTTTTCGTAACTCAATAATTCGATCCTGGAGACTGGAACTGACTGCTGGTTGTGCGAGGTTAGGTTCTGCTGCGGGTCCCTGACGGAGAGCTTTAACGCGGGCCTTCTTGCACACCAGTGAATCACGGTGCATGGACAGTCCATGAGCGGTTTTCACGACTTTTCCGCACAGATCGCATTTAAACTCCATGGTGCGTGTTAATTCCTAAAAACAACTGCCAAAGCCAGAAAAGGAACCAACAAAACCGAGTGAGAACGCATAAGCAGGGAACGACATACCCAGTTTACCGAGAGCCATCGCGATGGACTCAACGGTAATAGATAGCAAAAGCACGCGTTCTCCTCAGGGATAAGTACAAGAGGTTTTCGTTTGGAAGACACATGGGGGTTGGGATCATTTTAAAACAAAACAATCCATTCCCGTTGATGAACAAAACAATCCACAAACGAATATTATTTTTTTCAAATCATACCAGTATCATGTTGATTCTCTGCAGGCGCAACGATTAACAAAGATGAGATTTAGTGGCCTGTTATTTTGTAGTCATTAATTTCCTTCTTTATCGAAAATTAATTTAAAGTAAATGCTATATTGCTATGGAGTGCTAAATTGCTGTATTAAAGTAAGGATTTTAAGGAGAAGACCCGGTATATGCCTTTCCTGGGTCTTTTCCTTTAAATTCCTGCTACATTGGTATTTTATAGTACCCAGTATCATTTGGTACTACGCACAAGGCACACAGCTTTCGTTTTCACACTTTGTATACGAATTTTGCATATATCCTGGGTCTTCTTCCCTTAAAATATGTAATCCTGCCACCGGTGACTGGCGGGGAGTGTAGGACTTCGTTCTCGAAATGTGCAGTACTTGTGCTCGAGTATCACGCATACCTAGCGCTTTAAAAATCACTGCTATGTACGGTTTATACAGGGACATCCGGAAAGACAGTATTAATTTTGCTGCGGGCAGGATTTTTCACGGCTCACAATGCCAACCAACTCACCACATTATGTTTGTCAAAACCCACAAGTGCGGCAGCTCCAGTATCCAGAACATCCTGATGCGTTACGGGAACCGCTATAACTTGACCTTCGTTATCCCCTGGTTCTCCAACAATCTCGGGAACTTTGCGAACTTGGAGCGATTCCGTTCCGACATGGCACTGCCGGTTCCGCGACAATCTTATCCACACTATGACATTTTCGCGCATCATGCACGCTACAATAAAGACGTGATACCGTCACTCATGCCTAAAAATACCGTTTACATTGCCATCGTCCGCGAACCGACAGCCATGTACCAATCAGCGTGGACATATTTTTCTCTTAACCAACGATTCGGTGTTTCTCTGAACGATTTCGCAGCCGATCCACACCGGTTCTATTTCAACAGCACTGATAATCGTTCGCTACAGTTTGCCAGGAATCCAATGTTGTCGGATTTCGGGCTGGAGAAAGAAGATTTCGATAACATGACGGTATTGCAAGAAACCATTGATTATATCGACAAACGGTTTGCGCTGGTGATGATCAGTGATTATATGGATGAGTCGTTGGTATTACTGCGGCAGTTGCTGTGCTGGGAATGGGATGATGTTGTAGAGTTCCATTTAAACCGGCAAAATAACCATCCAACAAAGCTGACCAAAAAGGTTACGGACAATATTTTGGCTTGGAATAGTGGTGATAATATGCTGTACCGGCATTTTTTGATGCGCTTTCGGGAGAAATGGGCAATGTATGGCGATAAAAAAATGACCGAAGATGTGAAAAAATTGCGGTTATTACGGAAAGATTGGAAAGAGAAGTGTAGACGCGCTAGCGGATTGCATAACGCGGTGGGGGAAAAAGAGAGGGAGAACTGCTGGTTTCTATGCATGCACGAATTGGAATTTACGGACAGAATCCGTGTAAAATTGTGGCCGAATTATGGATTTGAAATTCAGTACGAGAATAAAAAATCTGATGGCAAATACTGTTACAAAAATTTCCGTGTGGCAGAGGCGGTGAGGTGACACGACGAGTATGCACCAAACTGTCAGAGACAATAACCTGTCGTATCGTTCCATGATCCGCATCCAGGGAACCAGCAACACTATATGGCCGATTTAGCGTCGAGTTCTCGAGCTGGTGATCTTCGATAATTACCAATAATACTCGTACATTCGAAAACAGCTTATAATTACATTGGTTACTAGCTGATTACCACCGGCTGCGTTTAACCGCGAAGCTAACATGTACAAAGGTGTGCCAGATATGCACTCAAGGTGTCGGCATCGCTATCACCTTAACGGTAGAATAATTATGCTACTTACAGTAATTGTAATTTCGTACGGACTGACCTTTCTGTGCTGTTGTGCTTGTTGGACTCCTACTTCCGACGAAGCAACAAGTAATTGTAATTATCTCTAGTATCTCTCTATGCTTATGTCATTTTTCTATTTTGTTTTGCTTATCTCATTCGGAATCGCATTCGGAATCGCATCATTATGCGTAGTTTCAGAACGTGACGTGACACTACCGAAACATTTGAGTAGTCATTCGTTAACCGTGGCAGCATAGTGCGACATTCCGTACTCCTACAGGAACGGCAGTGAGGATACAGTACATAACTGTACAATACGGTACATAACTGTACAGTATGTCTACTAAAGTCTCCATGCATTGTGCAGCATATGGCACACTGTAGGTAAGAGAGTAGGGACTGTAAGAGTATATTTCCGGCCCTTTATATTATGGGCCCAATCCTGTACCCTATGAGTAGTTAACTTCAAAGACACTGCACGTCCAGCAAACGCTTATCGGCGATCAATATCAACAAAATTAAACAGGCCTGCATTCTTGCCTCCTCCCACTGCGCCCTGGTGTGCTATGCCGGTCTTGGAATAAAACGAATTATTATTGATTGACATTTGTGCATGGCACGCATGCCATGCACACGCATCAATACTTCTATCACAGTACCATTACTTTGTATGCCAGCTGTTTATATATCCCGTCCAGCACTGGTGGTAACGTTATAAACAACGGCTTCGCACAGCTACTAACATACCAGCTAGGACTTGGAACCCGTGCTGCATTAGTGGCGTGCAACTTGTAACAACTCCTCTCCTTGTTTAAAGCGGGGACATATTCTGCTGGTTAACTGTCACTGTCACTTTTTCCATTGACTTTTGTTCACGTGCTTGTCTGGAGATCTCGGGTTGAAGATGGACTGGAATGGTGCATCTATTGCCGTGCAAAGCGCTTTATTATTTTCGCATACAAATCGCTGTGATGGACTCCGGCGAAACACATCACATAATATTATATAGATATGATATATCGTACCTCAAGTTAAGCACCGATACACCCGAATACAGATCAGCAATTATTTGCGCTGGTCGGACGGGTTGCAGCGCTAGCGCGGGATCATGGAGCTGGACTTGGAATTCCAACTGGAAGTGGGCTTTGAACCATGGCCGTACCGGCGCTTCGGCCGCAGTGTCAGCAGCGGCAACACCGTCATGGTGCTGCTAAACAACGCCTGGTACCTGGGCTTCATCGAGGACATTTCCGACGACCAGCAGCAAATATTTGTCAACTTTCGTTGCAGCGAATTACCGGCCGCTTGGTTGCCCGCCCACCGTGTCTTCCCCCACGCCCTCTTCACGGAAGCGGGCGGCAGCTTCTACACGGTGCTGGCGGCACTGCGCAGAGAGCCCAGCGCACCGCTGATCTTCCGGCCGGCCGCCGTTGTTGGCTTCTGCCTCAGCGGCCCCGGGTTAATGTGCTGCGTGCAGACAAGGACTGATGCCGGTGCTCAGCGCCATCTCCTGCATCCACTGCAGATTGCCGCCGAGCGGCCGCCCCGTCGACCGCTGCTACTGCTCCCACCATCGCCGCGCGAGTGCGTCTACGCCGCCTACACGACGGACACGGTGGACGTGGCGCACATCAACAGTATCGATGAGAACCGGCTGCAGTTTGAGATGCGGCGTGCGGTGTACGCTGCGCAGTGCCGTGCACTTAATGGCCGGCCACGGCAGACATACGGCGGGGTCCAGGACATACGGTATTACATGCGTCTAAGCAAGGATTCCGTCAAGTTTCTCATCTGGCAGCGTCAGGAAAGCGATTATCCGTGGAATCCTGAGATGCTCTCGGAATGCGTCCGTCGCTGCTTGGACAGTGGTATATTGGCCAACAAAAATATCAACGCTGCAGCTTTTACAAGGCTTGGCTGCAGTGCAATTTCGCATGAAGCCGACGACTGCGGGCGGTTGACTAGTCTACCGTTGGAAATCGTCGAGTGTCTGTTTGACATGATGGATATTGTCACTCGCACCACAATACAACGGTAAAAAATTTATGTGTTTTATAAGTTGTTAGCCACATCATTGCGCGAGGGCGAGTCGATCTATTGAAATTGTGGAACTGGAAAGTGTTACGTGACGCTCTTCATGGCATTAAGCAAATTTTATGCTCTTGATGAAGGCTTTAATTACAGCTTTTTGCTGCGCTTGTAGGGTTAGTCCAATCTGGAACGGCGTGGCCAAGCGCTGCTGCTTACTACAGCGGCATTGCGTCATCGATTTGGGCCTGCGCGTACGCAGCGCTAACATGTACGACGAAATGTACCGTCTCGGCCAGCAGCTGTACTACGGCCTGGGCAGTGCGGTGCAGACCCTGGTGCTGACGCGGTGGCGGCCCGGCGAGCACTGGCTGGCTGAGCGAAGTCACTACATTGGCAACAGCGACGTGACCGTCATTCGGCAGATCGTCAGAATCCTCCGACCTGTCCCGGCCGCCATAGCCCCAACGACACGGCCAGTGCAGCGTATCGTCTGCCACCGCTGTGTCGTCAGCGGCGATCTGCCCACAGACTGGTCGATGGTCGGTGACTGGCCGGCCAGCGCCGATACGCCGCTCTACTTTCCCCTCTACCACTTGTCGCCGCTCATGGACGTGTGCTGCGGCCAGCTGATCCTGCTGGATTACGTCCAGAACGACGCCCTGCAGCACTTTCATCATCTGCGGCCCTTCTGGCACCCTGCCGACTGGACCCCCTTGACTGATGAGCCCTATCAGAGTCGCGACCCGGCGCCGCCGCTGCGGGTGGCCGTGCCCTTCCTGCGTCTAGACTGCACCGACCAGGATGCTGTCGGGCTCTTATCCACCATGCGGGCGGCCATGGAGGCCGCCCTCTCGGAACCGTCCCCGGAGATGCGGCGGATGGCCACGGACATGTACGAGTTCTGGCGCACCCGGGACACCTACTGGCCCTTCCTTCGCCATCTCTTCACAGCGTAAGTATGAAAACATCCCGCGTCTGAAACGTTCATGTCTAATTTGTGAATCGGACCCGGCGTCCTGGAGTAAAAAGGAACGTCACCGTGTAAAGTACATGGCACTATATGCACGTAATCGCGTGCGTTGTTTTGCAGCACCGAGCCGGGCGGGCCGACATGGCAGCACGCCGACTTCCCCAGCACGCCACTGCCGCAGTTGAGCCGCTTAACCGTCTTCGCTCTGGACTCTATGTGGTACGCGTGCAACAGTGCCGCTGGCGACACGGAACCGCAATAATAATCTTCCAGTGATCCAATATTTTTGACCAATCGAGAACAATTAATTACAGAGGTACAAGCATATATTCCCCAGTTACACTATCAGTTTTATACTGTCCATCTTTTCGTTCTGCATGTTCGTTCGTATGTGCAAATTGTATATCAGTATATGTAGTCAGCATTTATAATAATGTACCTAGATACTCGTAGATGTTACCTCGTAGATCGGAAATACAATAACTATACGTCCACAATAATGCTAAAAACTCGTCATATACGAACTTACTGTACCGCATGGGATAGATTACACCTTAGCTCGAAATTTGTGGAATAGAGGCGCCGGCAGAATCATTTCCTAATCAGCATACTCTGTATATTATCACAAAGAACCTGTTTAGTAATTATTCCATTTAATGAAAAGCCCGTCGATTTAAGCTTAAAATTGTTATTTTGCTACAAATTTGTTGTAAGAAAAAAATTAGTAACAGTTGAATTCAACGAAAGCAGCTATAACTTGAAGGAGGCAGCCGGCGTAATTACTTAATGTTCAGCAGGTCGTAGCGCTTGCCGCTTCATAGTTCTTGGCGCCTCGGATTTTGACGCTGCCACTGCACTACCATATTTCACATTTTTACTTGGTGCAATTGGAGCCAGCGTAGTAGTTACAGATTAAAAAATTTATAACACGACTGCTTGTTGATGACTTCCTTCAATGTCGGTTTCAAAATTTCTTTCGTAGTAAGTCAGCAATGAATTAGACTTTACTTTATACCTACGGTGGCCCGTCTGTACTGCCGACGCAACTGATTAGCTTTGCTGAGTAGCTCTCCGGATTTTAACCTTTAGCTGTCCTGTTTTACGTAAATTAGCAAATAATTTTGCGAACAAAAAAATAATGAAGAAAAATATTGAACAAAAATAATTTAAGTTTTTCCCAAACCCCGTTTTCTAATATTATGCAGTACCGTAGTTAATCGATCAATAGAACTGTAGTTAAGTATCTGTTGGCTACTCTGCGGTACGGCATGCATACGCACTTCGTTAACTTTATACAACAAAATATAAGGCTAATAAAGACTTAGTCATAAGGAAGTAATACGTTAATACGAGTAAGAATAATATGTGTCACATATATCGCCATGAACATTATTTTACTGATAGTACACTCTCTACGGCACTCTCTATAGTACACTCTCTACGGCTATTCCAGTATACTGCGCCTGGAGAACTCATTGCTTGCCGACTTTCCGATGCCAAAAAGGACAGCATTGGTCAATATGACCGTAGCTGATTTATCTGGCGACCTCTGCAAAACGCCCTTGCAGTGCAGTTCTCCTGGGATTATCGCTGCCTTTAATACTCGTCACAGTATCCCTTGCCCGGGATTATGCATACGACTATCGAAAATTATTTCAGCCGCCGGAAGCGGTAAGGTACGTTTGTACGCTGTTAGAATGTCGCGCGAATTTTTTTAAATTAATGTATCCGGCAGTCACAATTCCCTTAATGTGCAAAGGCACGCTTAAGTACCGTTGCAAATTGTACCAGCGCCTACGTGGCTTTGTGTACTTCTTAAAACGATGCTCTTAACACTCGCACAATTTCTACTAAAGGCGCAATAAATGCTAACAAATTTGAGAAGAAATTCAGTAGCTGTGTCATGTTCCGCAGCCTTACATGTATTCCTAGAAAATTCCATGATCTACAAAACTGACTAAAACTTCATGAAAATATGCCTACCGTGGCAATGTTAGTAAACAAAAACGGGAGAACTTCCCAACCGGAAGTGATATGCCTTTTTCGTCTCAACAAGAATTGCTCATACAGCGCTTCCCGGGAGCATTCGGCTGTTCAGGTTTGGAAAGAATGCGAGGTCACGAAGCAGGTATGTTTACGATTACCAGGATCGAGAAAAACCAGTTTACTCTGCGGCCAGAACGCAGGCGAAACGACGTCCCGTAAGAACAGAGGAAGAAACGAAACTAAAATAGGTTCAGAAATAGAATGGGCAGCTTCCGATAATGCGTCTAGTCATGCTACGCTCAAGCGCTACGCTCAAGCTGGTCAGAACAGACAGTCACAACATGGTGAACCGCTTAGATAACACTCATCCGCTTTAATATTTGGTTGCGAATTTTGGGATCGCTATGACTGCGAAAAAAAAAGGCGGAAATCGGCGACAGCCAGCATTCTGCTACAGCTTGTATATAAAGCACAATAAAATATGTTCGGGCTTGGTGTTAATGGGTACTGGGTATTATTATTAAAATAGACAGATTGTCGATTTTAAAATAGACAAGTTTCAGTCGACTGGGTTCTTCTTTGTCTGCCACTGGACTACGATCATACTTCATACATAGTACTTTTCACTCACAGTAACAGAACGGTCAAGAAATTAGAGCACTGGACGCTGTGGGCAAGATGTGAGTGAGGAAGCGGAAGAGACAACAGGACCATTAATAAACCCCGCTACTACTTTGTCCGTCTCAACTTCATACTATTTTGAAAGTATTATCGAATGAACATGATTACTGCTTATTAAACAACCCGAATTTTGCGAAAAACAAACTGAAAATGTGGCTCTCATTCCTTGACCTTTAAGTTTTCGCATAGAAACACAATTACGAAAGGTGCTGAGATCAGGATCTCTCACGCGAAAATAGAAGGACTATGATGAAAGCGGGGGAATTTTCGTTACTGCCCCACTTCGCTGCCCTGGGTTGTAGTAGAATTACGTTATGTCATCCACCTTCCCAATCGGAGGTTGCGCAAATCCCTTTTACTCTAATCTACATGTACATTTGTGCCTGCAAAATGACAGAAAACAGCTTTGGGTGCGCGACAGTTGCCCGTGCATGTACATGAAGGTGGTACCAATATGTCCCTTAACCGTTTGGTAATCGAAATAGGTCACGATAACACTGCACCGAAATACCGCAACGTTAGCAATCGAGACTACAAAACCTCACACGGAAAACTGACAGCGTGACACACACCCCGCTGTCCGGGTACGGTTTATGTGACTGTCCGGTGGCGGTGCCCTACAAAACACGTTAATTTCTACTATGCATTTTTTTATAGGAATATCCGGAGCTACAGCATCAGTTTCGGTACGAGCAGAATGTCTTCCGGTTCACACTGCCAACCAACGCGTCACATTATGTTCGTCAAGAAGCACAAATGCGGCAGCTCCATCATCCAGAACATCCTGATGCGCTACGGAAATCGTCACGACCTGACCTTTGTCATCCCCTGGTTCTCCAACAACCTCGGATCATTTGCAAACTTTGAGCGATTCCGTCCCGACATGGCACTGCCGGTTCCGCAACAATCTAGTCCACACTATGACATTTTTTCTCACCACGCACGATACAATAAAGACGTCATACCGGCACTCATGCCTAAAGACACCGTTTACATCGGTATCGTTCGCGAACCTGCATCCATGTTCCAATCAACGTGGACCTGATTTATACTAAGGTCCAGAGTTACTATTAGCGATTTCAGCGCCAAGCACTTTTTTGCACTGTCTCTAGATAATTCCGGTACAAAACCATTCACATTGCAAGCATTGGGTCGCGTAACCGGTATTCTTTGCAGCTGTAAACAACGTAATACAAAACACATACTGACAGCAATTGCAGAGTAGTGACTGAGAGTACAGCAATTACCGTAGTGCAGTGGTACTGTTTTCATCCATATGTACTCCAACCGTTGTGCTAGTGAGTAGTAAACACAGGTTGTGGTCGGCCATTAATAAAATCAGACCGATTTCTACGTGTTTTTTTGCTTTTTCTATTACTCGCACATGAACAGAGCACACTGTATTAATTAAGGCTTTTTTGCAAGTTTCTAAAATTCGAAATTTTAATCGTGCAGTATGAGTCACAGCTGGCGAATTGATACGTTGATACTAATAGTTGATAATCGATACATAGTATTTCAAAATAAAATAAAACATGCCATAAATGTGAAAATGGAGAAATCTGCGCGAATTTACATGTCGACAAATAAGAAATCTGAACAAAAGCATTTGACCGGGAGAGAAAACAGAAAACAACCATAGAAAAACGTAGTTACAAAAGCCGGATAAAATATACCACATTTCTTTCATAGAAATAGAAACCTCAAACTGGCGCTGAAACGCGATAAATAGTCAAAGAATTTCTGGAAACGGACGCAGCGGGAAAATACGAGAAAATAATATGTAACCAAGAAATAAGAAAATAATTATAAAACATTAATATATATGCAGCGTGAAAACATGTAATACGAGAAAATACTAATGCGGAAAATATGTATTATCGTATTATTGGTTAGCCAGCGCATCGCGGTGATCCATGATTACGAAGAAAACACAAATTGTTTTTAATTTCTTTCTGAGAAAATTTCCCTGCTCAGTTGTAAACCTGCCACAATGCGTCTGTACAGTAAACAGTTAAAAGAACGTACAAAAAGTTCAAACCGATAAAAAAACGCGGTAAAACATGGAGAAACCGAGTAGCCCCGCCCCTGGGAAAAAATGTCCAAAAACAACAACCAGCCACGATCACAAAACTTTGCTGCAAACCTGAATGAGCAAAACGCCCCGCGACACCCATTGAAACAATAAAAACAACTAACAAACATTTTTTTAAACAATAAAACAATGAATAAATAAATTATTGCAGCTGCGGAAGACCACTCAGCACAGTCCGTCGTTCTCCTCGCATCTGAAATCCTTGAAGCAGTATTCGCGCAGTGCCCGCGTGATCCCGTCGAAAAAGGTGGTTTTGTCGTACGTTAACGGCTCATCTTTACCGATCCACTCGGCGGCGAAGAACGCCACCTGCGGCAGAAACGAAATATACTTAAAAAAAGCGATATTAAATTTTTAAAAAAATTTCCAATGGTATGTCTTAATCAAATTTTTCGGTTTGAGGAGCTGAAAAAAACTTACAATGAATAATTTCTCGTTCAGTTTCCTTTAGTTTCTAAATATATGTTGAATATTATAGAATATGATTTTATTTATGTATGTCATAAAATAACGGGATTTGTCAGCTTATAATTTAAATTAAACAATTTTGCTTCTGATTTGATATTTTATTTTATTTCAATTTACAAATCATCAATAAATTATTTCATATTATACAATTTATACTGACCTATCAAAATGAAGTACTGTATGTCACAAAATATTAATTTCTTAATACGGTAACATAGCACGGCTTATAATTGTGAATTAAGCAGTTCCTCTATAATTGTTGTGCATTTTACTTATTATTTCCATTTGATCCTTATTGATTGATCGATCCGTTCAGATAATTTCCGACAATTAATTTCGTAAGGAATTTTACTGTGTGAAGTGAGAAACGAGGAAATGAGTTGCCGTCAAAGGTCACCTGCGGGGGTTTGCGGCAGTCGAACTCCTTGACGACGCGGATGGTGAGGTTGGGGCGTTGGCTGTCGGCGAAGAAGCGGGAGGCGTTGGCGCGCCGCGAAATGTCCACGAGGAGGCCGCGCGAGAACAGCATGTAGCGGTGCGCCTTGTCCTTCTTCACGAAGCGCGCGTGCACCAGCTCCCCGCCCAGGAAGCTGACGAAGGCGCCGCGCTCCAACTCCACCTTCGATTTGGCCAGCCTAACCGACAAACGCGCACCATTGGACTATAAACTGCGATGAGATAAGGGCGCAAAAAAGGAAATCAACTGCCTAATAAAAAATAATTTATACAAAAATAATAAGACAAAAAATTGAAAGAATATTACAGAAATAATAATACCGGTAGAATGAATCACTAATCATACAGCTGAACGGAAAACCGTTATTTTGGCATCTTGACCGCTGGTCCAACAACTGCTCGCAACATACCATTGAACAGCAACAATATGTGATGGGGTACAAAATTGTAGTGTAATGGCACGAAATTTCGATCGTAACGATCATGGTTGTGCGTAAAAGAAATCAAAAACTGCGTTGCAAATTAAAATTATTTCCTTTTTGAACTTTTTGCAGTTAAACTGGACAACTGCTCAGGCAAAGCGAGTAATCCAACAAAACTGCTATAAAAACTTTCTTTTTTATAATAACCTTTCTTTCAAATGGCACGCCGGTGTTTAGTCATTCTGTACCGAACAACATGGTACCGTACAGCAACAATCAACACCAGGGCGAATATTGTAGTACAGAGGCTCACAATTTGGCCAGAACTCATTCTCCTCGCGCGTACACAATACATACCGAGCAAAATACCAATATTTATTTAGCTTAGTTTTTACAAAAAAAATTATAAAGTACCCGTGCTGCGTGCAAAACATAACACTCATTTTTAATTATAATGGTACCCTTTAAAACAATCATTAAAAAAATAATTTTGTTGTAAAGAAAGAACTGCAAGTCAACAAGTCAACAATTTCACTTCTCTCATGGTCAGTCCACACTCCATAAGCATCATAATGATACGAAATTAAGTCTAATCACAATAACCGCCCATCAAAGCATAACAAAATACGATTTTAATATAGAAAATTTAGTACACCATACAGAAAATTCACACACCCTCTTTCAAAATTACTACGCCATATATTTATGCGAGTAACGAGATTACCAACAATAATAATAACTTTATCGTAGCACATCTCCATGGGCGGGGCCAAAATACATTTTTATGTTAATTTTTATATTTGCCTATTTTAATGTACGTAATTTAATTTATACATAATTTAACTCTAATTAATAGTTAAATAATTTAAAATTATTAAACAAATTCGCGCTAAAGCACGGCCTTACCAGAGCCCCTTGACCTTATCGAAATAAATCTCCATGGGCGGGGCCAAAATACATTTTTATGTTAATTTTCATATTTGCTTATTTTGTTGTACGAAATTTAACTTATACGTAATTTAATTCTAATTATTAGTTGAATATTTTGCAGATATTATACATATAAATTCGCACAAAACCCCGGCCTTACCAGAGCCCCTTGACCTTATCGTAATAAATCTCCATGGGCGGGGCCACGGCGTCGTGGAGCGTCTTTAGCGGACACTCCGCCCCGCAACGGCACATGGCCGGGCACTGGAGGATGGGCCGGCCCTCGGGGTGGCTGGCCAGCAGCCGGCCCCGGGCGTCGAACACCGCTGAGCCGCGGTTGGCGATCTTGATGCAGACGCAGGTGCGCACGTTGCAGACGCCGCCGGCGCACTTGCAGTACAGCACCGGCCACTTGTCCTGCCGCGCCGGCGCCAGCTCGATGAAGGGCTCGCTGTCGGCGTGGATGGACAGGCCGAACTGGTAGTCGAAGGACGGACGCCGCTCCACGTCCGTGATGTTCAGCTGGATGGTGCCCTGCACGAGCCGAAATATCCCTGGATTAATCTGGCAAATTTTATACCGCAACGTATCATTATTATTTTATAAATGCATTACTTTCTCAGTAAAAATCCTTGTTTTATCAATTTTTATTTTTAAATTATTCTCTTATTTAATTCTTTTTGTTTTATTTATTATTTACTATTCATTGCTTCTTACCAGTTTAACTAGCTGAAATTATCATGCAGTATCTTCTGTTAATAATTATTATTTTAACTTTATTTTTTCTTTTTTCAGAATGATTTTATTTCAGAAAACTCTCGTATGTTTTCAAACATTTTTATGCTGTTATAATTACACCACCGAGCTGTTTATGAGAAAAATGTATACAATCGAAAGATCCTTATTTTGTCATTTTTACATTAAAATGTTGTTGTACATTAATGCTTATTGATTTATTTATTCACTGATTCGTTTATTCTCTTATTACTATTTTACTTTACTAAGCATTATTTTAAATTTAATCTTTCCTTTTTTAAAATTATTCTGTTGTAGAAAAGTTTCTTCTATTTTTTGACATCGCTATTTTTTTAGAGGAGTTTCTGAAAAAAATTAGAGAAAAAATGTTGAGAGCTATCTGCAACCTCAACAGAGCAATATTGTAACAGAATGCGATGTCTTCAAATTTTGGTGTGTACAGCGCCATTTCTCTACGATTTTCTCTGGATATTTTGACTCCCTCTGGTAATACATATATAGCGCATTTTGTCACCCCGTCGACCGAGCGCTATCTTTCTCCTACCTGCGAAGTGCGCTGTTTGGCGGTGCCGAAGGTGAGGTTGGGGTGGACGGGCATGAGGGTGACGGTGGTGGTCTTCTTGACGGGGGAGGGCAGTTTGTAGGGCAGCGGGATGCTGGCCGCCAGGTCGCTGGGCGCGTCCTTCTTGGTGTTCAGCGGGGTGGCCGGTGTGCCCGCCTCCAGCAGATCCAGCGCCATCTCCTCGTCAAACCCCCCGCGCACCAACCTACCCATGCAGTCGAATTAATCCGCTATACCCAAATGCTCAAAATTAAAAGATAATAAAAATTATTAAATAAAGAAGTTATTAAAAAATTAAAGATAAATCATTAACAAATTATTAACAAATAAATTAAATTACAAACAACTGTATAAATTATTAAATTGTTTGATTTTAAATTATTAACAAAAGTTAATCATTAAACAATTATTAATGTGGCTGTATTATTCATTAAAAATTGTTTTAATAAGTAAAAAAAGTAACAACAAAATTAAAACTGGAAGAATATGAAAAATATTAATAAGGTACGTCTACAGAATAATCCAATGCACAGGCTGTCCCAGTACCGACTGCGACCGCATGACATTTTGCGTTAATCGTCGATTTCGACGTCGCCGGCTACCGTGACATTCGATAGCGACGAAGCCATTGCAAAGTCAGATTTAATAAAACCGCTCGCATAAATTGAATGAAAAAATTTTAAAAAATTATTAATTTAATTTAGTCAAACAACGTATTGCGTTTACAACACTGCAACAACACTTTCTACAGGACTGCGCACATTACGCCAAACAAATGTTTTGGCCGTAGTGGATTGATTGACTGTTATGTCGCTGGGTAAACAAAATAAATATCTCGTTATATTAATGTTCATCATATTGCTAGCCCATTTGTTACATTGTCTGCCAAAATTCTCGGATACTTATAATGCTTTTATTCTTTAACGTACTGGTGGACAGTATGTATGAAAGAACATGCAAATAAAAATTAGAAAATAAAACAGATTACTTCACATAGAAATGGGAGTAATAAACATTGCAAAACTATAATCACAGGAAAATTAATAATGTTTTGGGTCTGGATTACTCCAAAGAAATAATCTGCGCGCCGGCCCCTATTTACTGCGAACTTTCCTTCGCGGTTCTGAAAGTGCACTTGAGTAAAATGTCGAAATTGCACGATAATTGACGGGCAAAATAGATTATCTCATTTTGTTATTACTATTAAAATTAATTCAACTTACCATTCAAAAAAATATTCACGATTAAAAAAAAACAACAGTAATGCTCACGGGAACTGCTTAAATTAGACTGGCAGTTGCCTTGATTTTTTTTGCGGAAGGACAAAAGTAAAGACCATGCAGATTCTGAATGTTATCACACTGCTGCCTGGACGATAATGTTGCCGGAAGTGCTGCAATCTAAAATGAATTCCGGCTGTTCGAAATTAAAGAAAACGGCCATTTGAATTCCGAGTAATCGGAATTATAATTGCCTTTTTCCAATTGCGAGTACTCGGAATTCAGATGGTACCGGTTTAATTTACGATTACTTGAAATTCAAATTACGGTATTTAAATTCCGAGTATTTGGAATTCAAATACAGACCATTTAAATTTCAAATACTCGGAATTCAGAGTAACTTGGTTCAGATTCCGAATACAGGCATTGCACATTTTTAGAGACTTTAATTAAGCATTATTTCTGGTTTTCATGCCTGGAATGTAAGTACGCGACGTTGTGTTCTTTTCCCACTTCTCCACTCTGTAATTTGCTACTGCGCGACTTTATGAAATGGTGCCATTCGTTTAATTAAAAGTTATACTGAAACTCGCTTGGTGCAGATGCTCGTTTTTGTGTTTTGTCGACCGGACAGTGATGTATCCTGACGTTGCGTATGTCCAATCTGAACGGGATGTCTGTTCTTGTGAAATATTGAAAACAATAATAATAACAATGATCCTGCATTAGTGCAAATATTTTCAAGATCATTTTAGTCGGAAAAATACAATTTATCGCACAAATATCTGCGGTAGTGCGCTGATGAACACATAAGAAATAACTGTACTTCTAACGACTGACCAAGTGCAGACATTTATTTTTTTCATATTCAGTAAAATATGGTTGTCATGTGATTAATTTGTTCACTGGACTTCTTATAAGTGTCTCCACCCACAGCTGATAGCGCTATGCGTATAGACTGGTATGCGTAAACATTATTTTGAGTCCAGTACGCACAGTTGTGTACGCGCGGGAACTCAGTACTCCGTTGTCGGCTCATTTGAGCACGTTTACTGATAAGAAATACACGAATCAGAGAATCGCGCTGAATCATAGATCCACGTGCTCGGACAAAGCAAAGCCGACCACATGCAATTATGCACATGAGCTGCACACGCTGGTGTAAGTCGGGTGTCACTTTCATTGACATCGGTCCAGTTGTGTGAGGTTCTTAATGAAAGTGTAGGAAATTAACGCATTCGCAAATTTTACAATGCCGTACGCGTGGAGTGCATTTTTTTTCTAAATTTCTACTGATTGTACACAATGGCATCTGAATCTCAAGAGAGCGCAGGCGGCAGTGAGGTTTTGCGCGGCAGAAAGCAAATCTGGCAACAAACTGGGAGATTTGAGAACGCATATGGTCGCGGAACGGTCAAGGTCAACGTTGGAAAACGAAATTGGGCGGTACAAAGCCGCCAGTTACCCGGAATTTACTGAACAGAGCGATGCTGTACGTTTTTGGAAGTCATCACATGGCAAGGGCTTTGAAAAGCTGTCGAAAATTGCTGCTGCCGTTTTAGGTGGGTAAAATATATAACACTCTGAAGCAAATAGTAATGTCATACAAGAAAACAAATCAAGCAATTAAGCAGTAAGAAATCTTAGCTGCCTAAGTACATTCTATGTTTATTCGTTACAAATTTACGTAATATTTCTGCAAGAGATAAACACAACAGGTGACAACACCATTGAAAACTTTCATTCAGTTCACTACCCTTTCACCCGTTCACAATTTCATTTTTACGTTTGAAACTGAGCAGAAGTGAGACAGAAAGTATTAGCCATTTATTTTCCACACCAGCCTTGCGAAGCTGAAAAATATTACCTAATAAAATTGCGTACCATTATACATACCGTAATTATCGAATTTGTGGCCCTGGGGTACAAATAGTTCAAAGGTCATGGTCGCGGGGGTTATTTCGGGGCGGGTGGCATTAATTCTCATACGGCATGTTTATGAAGGAAATATTATATGTGTTTCAAATAGCTGCGCGTCGTTTCCAAATGAAACTGAACATAAAGCTCACGGTATAAGCAACTAGTGCAACTACACAACTTTGGGGGCATCATTTGGTAGCTTATTTCTACCTATACTAGTGTTTGCTAACAAACACCACATAACGTTTATGTTCGCACAGAATTACCCTTAAGTTATACCAACTGTATGAAAACAAAAATTGAGGTATACCTATCTTTTTGCAGCACTTGAGATTTATTAACCCCCCCAGAAGCGCATTTTCAAGGGTGTTCTGATTTATTAAACACAACCGAGCAGCGGCGCTTTTTGTTCGAGAGGGACTGTTTATTACGAACGAAGCCGAATTACTTTACATATTGAGTTCATGGTTTCGGTGTCCATAACCTGATTGTAAAAACAACAGAAATGGCAGTTTTCGTACTATCTTTAAGGTAGCGGCGTCATTTTGTAACATGTTCACAGAAAGTGAATCGAAAACGTTTTAACACACAGCTGTGGCGTAAATTGAGTAACCAGTTGACGTAAATCGCTTAGTACTTGCCAAACAAACAATTAACGTGAGGATAAGTGAGGAAAAGATTGTACACGGAACGAAAGATACTGTCGAAAGTACTTGGTGCAAGGTGCTGTGAGAGGTTGTGAAGCGAGTGTAAGATTGTGAAAGGCGTAAACGGAGTGTCAACAAAAAATTATAGAGGTACCGTATGCTTGTGTACAAGTGCAAACACGTAACTGTAGTAAACCAAAAAGACTAAGTTATTATAAATTTAAATTGGTGAGGCCATTTTCACAAAGATTTTAAAATGCAGGTGGAGTTGCTACCAGCACATCAACTGAACAGCTGTTCTCGGTTTCCGGTTTCCAGACTGTTGGACGGAGAAATAGACTTGGCGGGCACCGATTGGAAGTAGAAACGCTACTGAACAAGAACTTGTCTTTCACGAAGATTCTGTGTGAAATTTCAGTTTTAGATTAACACCATTAAGGCGTCAACTAGATTCACCCGGCAGCCTAAGTAGCTCACGGCAGCCTAAGTAGCTCAGCCTAAGTAGCTCAGTATGAAAATGCCTGTACTTGTTCTTAAGTTTTTTGCACATTTATTTAGCGTTGAGTTTTACTGATAAAAGTCGGCAGAATTCGCAGCGGCTCTCGTGCTAAGTTACAGCCCTAAGAAAGAATCTTATAAAATCTCACAGTCCAAATTGACAATAAAAGCGATCGTAACTGCCGTGCATTTGCTAATAATATAGACTACAAGTACAGACTACATTGTTTCAACTACAGACTACAGTAAAAGGCTACTGTTATAATAATTTTAGGCTTTAATTTGCGTCTTAAGTATTAATTTGGTGCCGCAGAAACGTATAGTCGTCGTACAGGTCGTCGTGAATTATCTTAATAAATGGTATTTTAATAAAAGGCAAGCTTAAATTGCGAGCACTTGCGTTCGTAAATACCGCAATTTAATTTCGAATAATTGGAGTTCGAATTTGAGGCATTTTGAATTCCGAGTAATCGAAATTCAAATTTACATATTATAAATTTCGAATACTGTAATTGGAAATCAAAGAAATTTTTATTAGATTACTCGGAATTGGAAATACCCGAATTTGAATTCCGATTACTCGGAATTGATATCGAAATTCTTTCGCGTGCAATTTCGAGCACTTCCGGCAACACTACTGGACGACATTAAACATCTCTCGGCGCCACCACTCTACGATTCTCACAATATTCGACAAGCGGTATGAGATAGACAGACTTGTACGAAAATTTAACGAACGGCTATTTATACGAAAAGTTAAAAACAAACGAGCAACCATTTTGGAAAAAAAGGCGGTGTGGAAAGCAAATATCCTGAAGAACAGCAAAGATTTTTCGAAGCTGCCAAAACACTAAATTATCTTTTCGTTTCTATTTCAAAGACTCGTAGTAGGCTTTCCTGAAAAGCATCATAAAAACATTTCTAAGGAAAAATCCGTATAATAAATTATATAAAAAACATTTTAAGATAAAAAAAAATTCTTCAAACATTAAATCGTCCATAAATGACTATCAGTTGTACTAAAAACGAAGGATAAATTAGAAAGAAGCCAATCTACGCAAGGCTAACCTTAAGCCGAATATTCAACATTTCACCCCAAAAGAATCATACTTGTGCAGGACGGTCTCGTTCATCTGGTCGCGCGCAGAGGGATTGGCGCCGTACTCCAGCAGCAGCCGCAGCGTCTCCCGCGACAACTTCTCCGCGGACTCCATCAACGGTGTGCGCATATTCTGGTCCAGGGGGTCCACGTGCACCCGCGGGTATTTTTCTAAGAGGAGACTCAACGCCCGCAGATCGCCGCCGCGCGCCGCCACGTGCAGAGCGGTCTTCATGTCCGCGTCGCGATTCAGCGGCTCCGCGCCGTGTTCCATCAGCAGCTCCATGCTGGCGTAGTCACGGGCCCGCACCGCGTTCAATAAGGGGGTATCGCGGGTGGGCTCCGTCAGGCCGGTGTTGGCCCGGCAGAGGCGCAACAGGCACACCAGCAGGACGAATTTCTTTCCTGCAGATTTAAAAATAAATCAAATTAAAAACCTTGGACATGAATATCATTCTTGAAATAACAATAATATTTTTTTATTTATTTTTTATTCTCAGGGTTGTTTCTGATATCTGATGTAGTATCCGGACGAATTTCTTTCCTCGCAGCTTCACGGCGCAATACAGTCAGGCATCGACAGAAATAATCAGCAATTTCAGTGTTCCAATACTGCATGGTGTCGCCGCTATTTAATTTAAAATTTGCGCTACATCAGGCATATTTCTTTAGGCATAAATATGTTTACGTAAGTATGTTTACAAATTAAAAGCAGCCAAATACGAGTATGTACTGTATATTAATTTTACGTGAATATATACAACTAGCACTAGTACATCAACCGAACTACGCGGCAACCAAATGTAAGTTATGTAACACCGTGGACTGTGGTGACATCGTAGTGTGGTGGCACAATAGTGATTCGTATTACTCACACGTGTGCAGCGTTCTATGGTCGAAACATTACTCTAGAAAACTAAAACAGGAAAAACAATGAATTTTAAAAAAAAAGATTTCGTTAAATTAAAAATCCATTTGCAAGCTTCAAAATTTAAAATGTACTTCTATGGAATCGGCATACTCTGGCTTCCCTGTTCGTGTCCAAAACAGTAACAGAGTTACGAAACTGCGAAAATATAAATTTAAAAAAAATAAACAGATAAAAATTATAAAATGCAAAACAATTTACGCCGGCTGATCCTGGTATTCCTGTGTGGTGTTCAATAAAAGCAATAAAATTATGAAATTCAAAAAATAATAATTCAAAAAAAGATAAAAGACAAATAAATGAATAAAAATATAAAATACAAAAACATACGCCGGCTCACCGTGATCTTCGTGCTCTGTCTCCAGAAAAGTAATAAAAAATATAAAATTAAAAAATAAAAATTCAAAAAGTGTGAAAGATATGTATTTAAATAAAAAAACTGCAAAATATAAAAATTATACGCCGGTTCACCCTGATCTTCCTGCTTGGTGTCCATAAAAGTACTAAAATAATAAAATAAAAAAAATATAAATTCAAAAAACATACAAGATGAATAAATAAAAAAATTATAAAATAAAAAAAATATACGCCGGCTCACCCTGGTCCTCCTGCTCGGTGTACACCCGTCCAGCCCAATCCCACAACGTGGCCGTCAGCTGCGGCACCGGCAACCCCACGGTGGCCCGCGCATCGATCACCATCTTCAGAATCCGGCTCATCTCCCCGGCCTCCTCCCCGTCCCCCTCCTTATGGACCCGTGGTCGTTTCCCATTGACCAGCCGTCCTCCCATCCCCTCGCTGCTCTTCCACTCCCCCCGCCGCATCAGCTCCTCCACCCCGCCCAGGAAGCCCTCCATCCAGGCCACCGGCATGGCCTCGGGGGCGAAGACGTTGAAGTAGGCGCGCGCCTCGTCGGGGGTGCGGAAGGGCTGCACCTTGAGCGCCACCACCCGCTTGTCCACGGGCGGGGCGTGGTCAGGCGGGTCGTGGGCGGCGCGCGGGCGGAAGGTGATGCGGTCGTCGCGGTCGGCGCAGATGGTGAAGCGCTGCAGGAACTCGATGATCCACCATTCCACGTCGGCGAAGCAGGACAACGGGGTGTCGGGCGGGATGATGTACTCGCCGGTGGACGGCGCGAAGACTACGGGGATGATTAACCTATAAAGAATTCTTTTTTGGTAAAGAATTACAGCAGTTATTTATAAATTAGTATAATTTGAATATTTTTTTGAGCCGGTTATAATTCGGCGGGCCTAATGATCTGAATTTGCGCTGTTTAATTTTCAAACAAAAAATCGTTTGATCTCGGTTTCTTTTAAATTCCATTGATTCTCGGTTTATTTTAGTTTTAGAAACTGCTTAAAAATTTGGTTTCTCAGTTTAAGCACAAATTCTCTTGATTTTCAGGTTTTTTATTCAAATCGATTTTAAATATTTTACATTAATTTCTAACATTTTTTAATCAATTTCAGCCTTCAACTAGTGAAAAAAATTAGAAAATCCGAAAAAGCAGGCCAAAAAGAATCCGAAACAAGAAAGAATAAAACAACATACCGTGATAATAGAATCGGGAAAAGGTATACATATTATAGCGTAAGCAATCATAGAAATGTCGACAGTCGACTCGCACCAGACAACATACATCCCCTTGCTTGGCACTGAGCCACTACACTACGTGTCGCACGCACAGCAGTGCGTCGTGGTGCAACGAAGCTTGACAAACTCAAATATTTAATTTAAGTACTAAAATTAACTGAATAATTAATTCATTACAATTTATTACCATTTTTATTAGCATAAATACGTAATTCTTCCATTACCAGCAGAAAACCGTATTTACACCCGACCGAGCATGACTACTGCAGATGCTGAAGGAAATTAAAAAAATCTTAAAAATATTGAAGCAGGCTTGAACCTCTTAATGGAATTATACTGCGTTTTTCGCCTTGCTAAACCAACGACACATTCGACCTGTTTTTAACCGTCGAGCACGGATAAATAAAAGCGTTACGTATCTTACCTGAAGACCCCATCGACCTTCTTCCCCCCGATAGTGGGGAACTTGGGACCCCCGCGTTTATGGAAACCGTTCTTCCCGGGGGGATGATTCGGGGGCGGCCCCCCGCCCTGGAGGAGCCCCTGGAGGATCCCCGGGAGGGGCAGATTCTCCGTGTCCCCGCAGGGACGACGTGTGCCATAGCGTCGGGTAACGCGCGGACGGTGGAGGCGCGGGGGGAGGGGGGTGGAGGGGGTGACGTCGCAGCGCTGGTTCAACGGCACCCAGATCCAGTAGCGCCCCGGGGGCCGCCCGGGGGCGCGCTCCATGCGCATGGCGTCGTAGTACACCGAGAAGACGGGCTCGTAGTCCGCCTCCGCGGAGGATGCATCCGACATGATTGGCAATCGCGCTGCGCACTCAGGATGCGACTATCAACAGCGTCCATGTAACATCGTCGTAAAATTTGAATACTTAGTACAGCACAGTTCCTGGTCCCGCGGGAGATACATCGGGGAATGGCGATTGGTGTGGTTGCAGTTTTATACAATATTTACAGATGCAGACTAGCATATGCAAAATTTAACAAAATATTAAGTAGTCATTGGATAGTTTTGATTAGTGGCTACATGAAACTGAATGAAATAATATTTCGTACAACCTCTTATTTAGAAATGCTGTATGCAAAAATTCAAATGCAAATATCCATTCCGTGTGAAATAGGTAACTGCCGCCCGTCGGCAGCGGCTCTGTGTGACATACACTGGCATTGAGCGGGAACGCTATTTAAATGGGGTTAAAGTTATACTGTTAAATAAGTGTAATTTAACGCCGATTTTATCGACGCTCGTCCTTAATTGTATGGACAGTCTACAAAGTTTGTACTTTGTACTATGTACCATACTATGTACGGACTTGTACAAGTACTTCCTATGTAGGTACTCATAGCAGCGCTTTTCCTAATATGTGACTATACATGAATTATAATAATAATTTGTTATCGATATTATGCAAAATGACAAATAACAAATACTACATATCTGTGCTCACTTTGTCCCGGAAACTGAAAATCTCTGATTATCTGATTCTATTACAATATCATAAAATCATCAGAGATTTTTTGTTTCCGGGACACGTTATATTGTTTCCGGGACACGTTATATTGTTTCCGGGATTTTTTGTTTCCGGGACACGTTTTACTTCTCTACGTTATATCATATTATCGTTTTTTATAGGATTTGATTTTAACAATCCTGAGGTCGTAATTAATAAATGAGAGTGTAAAACTAGATTATATCGCATAAAGCTATATCACAGTGTAATTAATTATACCGTAAAAAGCTATACTTCTATGTTCTATCAGAATGTCTGTCTTTTTTACCATTTATCACTTACCCAGTACAGTTATGATCACTGGTGGAAAAATGCCACAAGAAAACGTGGAACTTCGGCGGAAGCACGTTTTCGCACATCAAACAAGTGGTTTCTTCAACTAACCGCCAACATCCATAAAAGCTGCTGCATTTCTGAAACTTCAACTGTACTGATCTTTTATTACAACCGCATCTCTTGAAAGATCGTTTGGAATCAAATCTTGACCAGAGCCATAATAAAATTCCACCGAGCCCACGCGCACATGCAGGTCGAGTTTCAAAATCTAAAATTGCCCCGAAGCGCCCCAAATGAGAACTGCTCAACAATAAAAGCCGGTTTGACCGTGACATTTTCGTAGCGTGTACGTACACTTGTACATGCGTACCCACGTACGATATGCATGCTGCACAGTGCATGTTCTATTGGCTTTTAAATTGAATTGATTTATTTTGAATTTTCTGTTTACCTTGACCGGATAACGTACAAAATGTACAAAATGACCCTACGTTCAAAATGTACACTTGTATCTTCGATTGCTATCTTTGTAGTGTTGTGCTCTTCGGATTCGTTGCTATTGCGATCTACATATACATACAAAAATTATATTGTTTTTTTTCCTTCCTTTTCATTAAATAATTTTCATACAACAACTTGCAAAATATACTCGTAATATATGTCGCATCGACTAAGCATCTAAAAATAAATACGGTACGTACCCATTCTAAATGAAGAGTACACCTGTTTAAGCGACAAAAATTATATAGTCTATATGCTAGCGCTACAGCCATTCTACGGCATATGTTTTCGCCACATCGTAGTTCAAAGTCTTCACGAAATCTTATCAGTCTGTATGTCTGTGTGGCCATTGCACTACGATAGCTAGCTGAAAGCCTTAAAAAGAAACTGTTCTACCGTTTGTTTACTGTGCGTTTCGGCTATGCATTCTCTGTGTCCTTTTAAAAGTACTATTTATGTTTAATTTTATACAGTATATAATTTTATGTACAGTTAATTTAATTGATTTTTAACAGTATATACTTAATTTTTAATGATTAGCTGCAATTAAAGGACAAGCGTGCCGGGAAAAAACTTAGTACTTAAAGTTTATATCGGTGTGTACTGTACACACGGTTGTCTAAGGTTATGTCTCTATTTGGACAAGCAATTTACATTTTGGCTTGTACAGTATTTGGAGAAGCTTGTACATTTGGCTTCATAACGTCAAAAGTCTGTTTAGATATCATAGATATTCGCAATTAGAGTAGACTTGTAAAATGTTTAGATTGTAAAATGTTTAGATATCATAGATATGCGCAATTAGAGTATTTTACAAACATTTTAATACTGTTTTTTTTGCTTATTCGTATTTATTAGGAATTTCATAACTTGGTAAAACTGTAAGTAAGCATACATTTCTGACCATACCATACATACGGTATGCATACCTATTTCATCGGACAAATTTTCTACGTTACTGGTTTAAGCAATCTGGTTAATGTTTCTTTCAGGTTTTATTGTTTTATTATTTTTCATTTTAAGTGAAATTATCTTTATTTTAGTGGTTTTCTTCGTCAAGAGTGTTTTTATTGTGAGTTGAGTTTTCGCTATTTTGTATTATCAGTGGAATGGCTTTTCCCATAAAACAGCAAAACAATCTTCCTTTGGAAGTGTCCGCCGAGATACTGGAAATTCAGCCAACGGCATCATTACAGCAACGTCTCATCCAAATTTGCGAATTTATTATCGGCAAAGTTTTATTAGATAAAATTTCATTCCAGCACCGGCCTTCACCGGAACAATTTTTCCAATTAAACCACATTAAAACTCTATCCACCAGTAAAAAAACAAATCAACAAATTCCGCACTTTTCCACAACAGGCGTCTATCACAGTTTAAAGCACACACATTGGCCAGAAAAATGGAGAAATGCAAATTCCCGCACACCGATCATCCGGGGAATTATTTTCCATTTATTTTCCCATCCACATTTGAATCAGGAAGTATTCCCATTTATGTAGGAATTTATTCCGGAATTATTTCCCATTTATTTCGGAAATATTTTCCATTTATTTTCCATCCACATTTGAATCAGGAATTATTGATATTCAGCCGGTCGACGGGGCCGGTGAAGGTCTGTACGGCGTTGAAGCGGATGTTTCCGCCGTGGGTGAGCGAGGGGAACGGGGGATTTTTCAGCAACCAGTTGACGCCGTGATTCCCGTGACTGCCGCTGTTAGTGACCGCCTCCTGCACGCAGGTGACCACGGCGCAGTACGGCACGCGCTGCGTCACCTTGTTCATGTCGAATTGGTTGCGCGGCGCCCCGCCCACCAGCTGCCGGGTACATGTATCCAGGCTGGACGCATGCGCCACAAACAAGAGATTCCCGCCTACAAACACCACCAAATATTTCCAATTTAAAACATTTTATTATACGGTTTTAACATGCAGTTATTACTTCATTAAATTTTACTATACATTTCTTAGGTCAATGTTTTAAAATACAATTAAAAAATTTAAACAAATATGCCGATATGGTAGTATGTTCAGAGATGGTAGTATAGTGGCTCTAGCAAGCGAAAGTATCGCACAAGCGCTGTTCAGCGTAACACCCTACTACTTGAATGATCATAGCTGACATGGCTCATCACATATAAATTGTTTATCATCTTTTTTTTATTTTTTATTTATTATTATTAATAAATTAAGTTTTTTTAATTTTTAATCAATGTTGCTACATTATTCCATAATAAATCGGCAATAAAGGCAGCTTCCATTAAAATCTATGCAAACATATAGAAAAACACCATCCAGTACATGAAATACGGAATTTTATCCACAGTCACCAGGTAAGAGCGGATAAATTAATTTTTCCCGGAAATCCTTGACAAAAATCCCGGTATAATTTCTCACAAATTTATTTCCGGCCCCAGCGTCACTCACCTTCATGCCCACAGGCTTCCAGGGCCCGTTTCACCACGAGGCCGTTGCGCATGTAATATTCTTCCGTGGTCTCCTCGTAGTTGAGCTGTTTGACCTCGAAGACCGGCCGGTAGTCGAGGTCCACCGGGATGCCGAAGGCGTGCAGTTCCGCCGCCGTCAGCCACTCCGGATGACCTTCCTTCACCCAACCCAACCATTCGTACAGTCCCGGTTCGACACATAATTTAATGGGCCGCCGTTCCGGACAGGAGACCGCTGTCAACCGGATACACGTGACATATTATCCTTTAATTTCTGACTAATTTCTTACGTTAATAATTGTAGAAATGCCGGTAAAAGTGATAGGGAGTTTGCGTCGTAAAATATCCTTTAATTTTCCTGATTTCTTAACAATCTAGCGGTTATATAAATTATAAATGCCGGTAAAAAATAAAATTACAAATGCATGGAATCATTTTTCGTACAATAATTTAATGGTCTTTAACAATCATATTACTAGATAATTCCTTATAACTAACAATTCAGCGAATATAACTGCCGAGAAAATTTACAGCAGCGTTAGTAAGAAGACAAATTAGACGATTTCTTCTATAATTCCGAATAAATACAATAACTGGTGGTGCAGAGTAGCAAAAAGTTCAATCCATAACTTATTTACACGAGTTTTTTATGCATTTCGTCACCGTTTGTCAGTGGCACATCTAGACGGCAACCGCTGCACTACGAAAGCTGATTGTGACAATAAGTATTGCAGGTAATCACGTACAAACATGAGGTACGACCAAACAAATCAAATGAAATTAAACTAAACATCTTTATTCAAACGGTTAACATGTATTACTACACAAGTTTTATTTCCGTTTAGTTGTTTCATTTTTTAATTTTATTTTAAAAATTTTAAAACTATAATTTGATATTTAATTACAAATGAGGTGGTAAAAGCAGTTCACAATCCAAACGAACTCGATAACACAGCGCAGTCATACAGATATAATACGTTACCCACAATGTACTTAATTTAATATTGGAAGAAGAAATGTATTTCAATGATATTAAATTCACCATCTGCAAAGAACCGGCGCATGAATGACTTACACTCCAGCACGGCGGTGGCGGTCTGGACGGAGCGGAGGGCGGGGGAGACGAAGATGCGGCCGAAGCTGATGCCGGCGTCCTTCATGGCCTTGCCGGTGATCTGCGCCTGCAGCAGTCCGATGGCCGTCAGTGGCGGATCGCGGATGTACGCCTGACTGCCGGTGCGCCGCTTCGGCACCGCTTTCGGCATGTTGAGGTCCACCCGCGAGAAATTCCCTACAGCATTCGCATAATCGTGATCAGTCTAACGAATTCGTTTAAGCAAACCATCTGAGCGCTGTCTATGATAAACTTATAAGGTCATATTTCGAGCGCCTGCCCATAACCGTAATTTGGAAATCAAAGCCAAGGGAAAACAAATTACTGATTCACATTTACAAGTATGTTTCTTGCGGTGAAATGCGTAAATAATTTTGTCGCCAGAGCCTACGGCCCTACTGCACAGGTTGAGACGCAGCTAGCGTAGTGCAGTGGCACGGTAACGAGCTTTGCGCAAACCGAAAAACGGCCGTTAGTAAACTGTAAAGCAATACGAGTCAAATCATAAACTTCAAAAACTATTTCAAAAATTTACTTTTCCTCTACGATTTAAAAAAATATATTCATCATCGTGTACAAAAAATTTTTATGCTGCATTTATTTTCCATTTTATTTTGCCGAATTTATTTAGAAGTATATTCAAAACCGATTACTGATGCTACACACGCAGTGACGCACAGGATTAATAGTAACAAGTACTTACTATAGTGTGAGAAGGACTGGTAACCAACCGTTTGACGTCATCACTCTCGCATACACGGGAGGGCGGCTGCCATGGTGACAGATGCGCGTTTTTCACAGTTTTCTCAGCAGATTTCTCTTCTCTTCTATTTCTACCCCCCGAAACTGGGATTTCTATATTCACTATGATCTGTTAAAATCTTAGAAAGCTTTTTATGAGAACGACATGTCAGAATATCTCTTAAAAGGTACAACAAAGTCTCTGGGACTATGGAAAGCATTAACACAGCACTGCTTTCTGTATGCGAAGTGATGACGTAGTCGACCGTTGCGCAGTCCGTTCCCAGTTCTTCTAACTATAGTAAGTTCTTGATAGTAACTAACGTAGTGCACCGGCAATGGCACGAAAACGCCAAATCCTGATTAGTGCATAATATCAAACACAACCGCCTTCAGTGGTAAAAATTATTTCCCAAATATTTTTTCCCCGGCTATTTAATCAGGTTATATCTGTATCATGGCATAAATAAACGAGTTATTATTGTATTTATTTTTAATTTTATAAAGTTTCTTAAATACACATTATTTTATTACAATATTTTATATATTGCCAACATAGTATTCCCCAATTTGACCGCAACCTGTCCCTGTTCTTCCCCGAATCCACCGACTTCCGGTGGACGCATCAACAACGCACCGCATCGCCGAACAGTCACATCAATAACTCTGCACAGTCAGCGTAAAACGGGATCAAGAGCAACGATTTATGCCCCCAACCAGAACCGCAACGCAGCCCACCGCAACCGGGGTTGATCGTGGACTTGATGAGGTGCTAATCTCCCTCTCTCTCTACCGTTATATTCGCCGGCGCTGATCAATAATCCAACGCCGGCCACAATCACATTTTTCCCCCGCACATACAGGAAAATATGCCGGGGAAAATATGGCAATTCAATGGCCGCGCGGTTTTTAATATGCTGGCCCGAGTGTTTTTATGTCCTTTTGAAAACCGGCTTCCGCTGGGACACTGGCTGTCCGTGCCGCGTGCTGTGCTGCGGCCCCCGCATGACAAAAGCGACGCGCTGCGTTAATCAATAATATTTTCCTTTCCTTCGTCCGCTTCAGGAAATTTTTTCATTATTACGTCGATTCAATGGCGCCAAAGGTGCGTTTTTAATCCCGTTAACAAGGTGAAAATAAAATTTTACTGATATTATTCAGTATTTCTTCGTCGCGTTGGTCTGGTTATCACGTATTTATTTTTTTCTGGCATAATTTTTCCAGTGATCCAGTTCGCAAAGCAAATAAATTCCAATTTTTCCAGGAAAATCATAAAAATGAAAAGAAATGTTTTTCTTATTTTTTTCAGAATGTCATACACCATACGAGGGGGACAATTTTTGGAGCATTTTTAAAAAGTTTCAATTAAGTGAAATAACTAATTTTAATTAAATTAAAATTTTAGAAAATCTTCAAAAAATGATCCTCGCGGCAGTTACTAAAATCGAAAATCTGGCTGTCACTTATGACTTATATTACTACTGTAACGTCCGCTGGCATTTCAATTTTTAACCCGTAGATCGTCTGCGCCACTGTACTACGATAAACACTGTAATGTTCACAGTTCGTGCAGCATGCGATGCTCCTAGTAATCTTTGCCGGCGCTTTTACTCCGTTTTTTTTCTACGCGGAATATTCAGTTTTTATTAAATCTTAAACAAATCGCAACGACAAATTTTCACTGCAGACTCTACACTATAAAATTATACAGTATGCAGCTACTGGTACAAAAATTCAAATCATGGGATCAAAAATTGTAGAAATAACTGTGAGAAAATTTTTCGCCGTACCGTCGGTATCGAAGCACTTTTTGATCCAGTCCCAGCCGAAGACAAAATCCATCCGCTCCCCGTGGCGCATGACGTACACCGTGCAGTGACTGTCCGCGTTGCTGCGCCGGCGTCGCGGAGTCGCTGTTTCCATCGTCAGCCGGCTCAAAGAGGTCCCCACACCCCGCACGCCGCCTCCGCCGCTGCTGCTGCCGTTCGCCACGGATAACCAGCGTTTCCGCTGCGCAGGAGGGTAATGCATCATCTACCACACAACACACAAGCATACCTATTCATACCACGATATTAATCACGAAGAAAATTTAATAAATAATTCAAACAAAAATCAACACAGCGCTGTGCATTTTTGATACCAGAATCGCATAAAACGGAAAATTTTGACGGTTTAACAATACGACGAGTACCGTCAAGAAAAAACGGCAGAGCCACATTGATGCACGTAATATTACTGGCATCAGCTAACGTAGTGCAGTGTCACATTTACATCGAAAACCATGATCGCATGCGATAGTGTTGGACATATGGAAAGTAGATAGATCTCGAAAATAAGATTTCAACATTTTTTTCCTTTTCGTGTATTTTTCTTTACTCATGTATGCATAATTTTATATATATAATATATACGAAAACTGAAATACGAATAACCAGAATTTAATGAAAATTACCAGAATAATACAGAAATCATCAACAATAAACAATAAACACCAAAAATTTATACACAGAAAAACTATATAAAATAGAAGAAATACATACCCCATCGAACCAGCAGAAAATCATGAATAAATATACAAATAAATAAGCACATATATTTTTTTGCATTTTGACAAACATACCTTTTTCAGTTATTCTTTCGGTTAAAATCTTTTCTTTTTTCTCCGAACTGACGATTTATATTTAAAACATAAATCGCCACTTTGGAGAAAAAAAAACGATTTTAATCGAAAGAAAAAGCTGAAAAAGGCAGTAGAAAAGGGATTTTTACACCTCAATTGTGCGTAACAAAAGTTCGCTAACAGAAATTACAAAATTCAAAACCAAAAACCTCTGTAAATCGCAAAATACTACAAATTTAGCGGTTACATTAACAGAAAAACACATGGTCGTCATCGAAAATATCAGCTGTATAAACGTCTAGCATAAATTACGCACACAGCACCTGTCCGTTGAACAAAAAATGCGGTCGCCAAAATCGCCAAAAAATGCGGACGGAAAATATGAAAAAATCATGGCGATTCGTACCTCAATATTGCTGACCATGTCCTCCTCGTCCAGTTGTCCGCGTGTATTGTAGGGGATACTCCCGTGCAGAATCCACACGTCGGAGTCGAAGCACTTGTGCAGATGCGACAGCGGCGCCCGCCCCGAGAGCCCGCTGGCCCAGCTGTGACCGTACACGTAACCGGTCGGGGAGCCGTGCGTTTCGTTCTCCTTGGGCGAGACGTACAGGTAATCGCCGCTGGCAAAGTGCAGTAGATCGTCCACTTCGGGATTATTGTGCCATTCACCGGCCATCTCGTACACCTACCCCGACATCACGCTGTACTCATCGTAGATTTTGTTCTTATTTATTTTTTTATTTATCCATCTATTTCTTTACCGATATGCGTTACTGTGGTGTCTGTGCAGATTCGACAGCCGCGCGGGTATAAAATAATGCAGCGCCTTTTTCAAACAACCCATGACCCATGTAAAATAACAGAGACTTCCAGGAATTTCCCACTGTTCCACGTTATACACTATAATTTTACAAAAATATATTATTTTGAAAGTTTTATTTACACATCCGTGTGAAACGTCTCAATGCAGCAGCTTACGTCACCAACTCACTGGGAATGCCAGCCATGACTCTACGAACTCATATTTCACATAAAGACTGATAGACTACAACGTCAGATCCACACGACTTACCAGACAGCGAAATTCAATTTATTTATCAATTAAAACTATTTTCATCTGGTAAGGATGAACATACGCTCAGAAAACCAATGTCGTGAATTTTGTACAAAAATGCTCGGTGCAAAAATCCATCGGCGTAAACTGTGCCTAGAACTATAAAAAATTAAAATGGTTTCCGTGGAAATTTCCCGCAAAATTCTCAATATCAGTGAAACAAAATAATTCTCTACTAAATTAAAAATACAACGAAAAATTCAAGCAACCGGAAGCCAGTTTTTGGTGTAGATTTAAATCCCGCCACATGCCGCGCATGGAATTTCTTCCCACAGTAAATCCGGGGATGCGGCGTCTTCCCCGCAAACGACCCGGCAATTAAACGGGATTACACGGAGCGGGAGAGAGAGAGGAGGACAGCCGGTTTGCTAATTTGCAATGCGTTTTAAAACAGCCATTTCCATTTGAAAAATGGACGGGCGCGCGATTGTATCGCTCTGTTTCACCGCGCGACAGGGAAGATGCCGGGCATTTTACGGCTACAAATGGGATACTTTGTAGCCAACTGTATCCCGGGAATCATACACAGAGCCTACTCTTCGCAGCGGTATCGATTAATCGATGCCGGGATGCAGCGGACAGGCCAACCAAAGAACAACGGAAACAGTCAGAAACAAATCGGAATTAATGCTATGCTAAACACCATCACAGTTCAATGCCCATCACACCCCAACGAGCAAACGCAATACAAACAAGAACCGCTGGAAAAAAATACGTCTTCAACTACTCATCATGCACTTCGAAAACTTCACTCTCAAAATTTACTACCGAGTTATAGCCGTAAAAATTATCCAACTGAAAAATGCAAAGATAATTTTTTTACAAAAAAAATAATAATCTAAATTCGTTATAATAATACCCATATTACACTAATAATAGAATAATAATAATATTAAAATAATTTGAAAATAATACGAGGTAAAATAATTCAAGCGGCTACAATTGCAAATTAGCATAAAATAAAATGTATAGAAGTCGCTAAAAATAGGTACTTAACTTCTGATGACGCACGTCGAACATGTAATGCCAAAATTAACACCAGATTACGAACGAAAGGCTTGGTGTTCAGCTTTGTGTGTGGCTGTAGTGGATGAGCTTTCGTAGTACAAGGGCTGACCATGGCTCAGGACGTGGATCCTAATTTGTCTCGGCTGACGCTCGAATACGCTGTAATGTTAATTCTCAGTGTCTCACTGCGTAATTTAAAATCTCTTCGAGAAATTAGCCAAAGTTTTGTTCGCTAATGAGTTGAATATTTTTCGAAAAAATTTACAGGTTGGAAACAAATCAAAATTCTGTTATATCTCTATCTTTACGAAGCTACAACTACGCAATAAGGCGCAATTACTCTAATAAAAATCATAAATAAAAAAAATTAAAAATAATAAATCAAAAGTTATGATAAACAAAAATTCACAAAACACTAATAAGACGAATAAAATTACAAATAAGATTATTTTCGATTTTCTTGTGAATAAATCCTTTAAGCAAACAGAACTGCATCGCAAAAAAATATATCCATCAGCCGAAAAAAGCTGTTACGAAATGTATTACGCGATAACGAATCTCCCGGTAATTTCAAAAGGCATTAAAATATTCACAAAACGCAAACGCTGCAATTCGCTCGCTCATAATTTATTTCCATTTTCCGCCAACACAACCACATCATCGGCACACACCCCCGCGCCCTCATCGGCCGGCCGCACACACACCATCCATTGACATTTCTAATTAACCTGCGCGTGTATCGCTGCAGTCAGCGCATGGACTGTACTGCATATCGCATGAGGATGATACCTATGTGTACCTCGTGCGTATTGAAGCGGGGATCGCGGGAGTAGAGACGGAAGTGCCAGTGGCAGGGCGCCTTGAGATCAATGCGCTTGGCCAGGTTCAGCACGGCATCGTAGTCCCCCGGCGCGAACTGGTAGGCCAGGGTCAGGTGGAAGGCCTTCTTGCTCGTCTGCCCGATATCCTGATCTATCAGCCCAAAATGTATCACTTAGTCGCGGGGATTTTTAACCAGTGCAATAGCTTATTGATCATACTGCGGTTTATTGAGCGCGTGTGCGGAAATAAATACTATCCAAAGCAAATAAAAATTCAACACTGTTTTCCATTACATAAAAACGCAATTAAACATTTTAAAAAGATTTTGTTGTTGGAACTAGCTCTGTTTTCTTACAAAATTCGCTCAATGTGACTGGCTTCAAGTGGATTGTGCTAATAAAGAGAGAGATTAAATATTACGCAGACCATAAATGAAACAAAACTGTTCGGTACATAAATAAAAATACAGTTTAGTAAAACAAAACTCAGCAAATGCAAAGTAAAATTCTGTGCGGCAGATTAATAGTTAGGTAAAGAAAAAATTAATAATATCTAGGAAATAAATACAAAAGATAAATACTGCTCTCTCAGTGCTTAAATAAAAAAAACTGATACTGCTGGATAAATAAACAAAATACTAAGCAGTGCAAAAAATAAAAACTGAATACTGCCCAGTCAGGAAAAAATTACCAAGATTCTACAGTGCCGGAGGAACTACCAGTAATTTGATTTACGAAAATTTCATTACGACTTGGCTTTTATTCAATTACTATATTGATTTTCTGGGGTTAAGTACGGTTATTAATTGAAGCACATGGAAACCTTTTTTTTGCCCAGGTAACATAGAATAATTGCACCAGTTTCTTTAAAAATTTAATTTTTAATTAATGGGATCGGAAAATTACACTCAGAGATACAATTACAAATTAATCTGCCATAAAATGAATACTCGTAAAAGCGAAGCTTCCAAAAAGCATTTCGCAAACAGGCTTTTCCAGAAAAAAGCAAAGAAAAATCAGTAAAACAAATATAACAAAAATTCTAAATAAAATTCTTATTAAAACGATAAAAAAATATAAAAAAAAATTAACTGTCTTAAATTACTGTATGTAAAACCATTTAAGAAATATCACAAAATGCCGGTTTTCTAATTTGTATCACTAATCGCCATTATGACGTCTTTGTGTTGGCATGATAAAGGTCAAAAATCACGATTTGCGTATTTACCATTTTCCAATTTTCCGCCTCTGTAATTTTTCACGCCATTATATCAGAAACACGCATTATCAGAGAAAATAACCGTTTTTAAATCGCTAATGAATATTTATCGTAAACACATAGGGCAATACCGATGCGCGTCACGCCATGGTAATTAATATTTACCGCTGGTGCTCTGTAATTCCTGAATGAGACACTGCGAGTATTCCTTGAGAATCCGCTCCGACTGATTATCCAGGAATAATCCGATGAAGTTCTCCGATGCGTATCGATCCAGAATTAATTTATCCGGTAATCGATCGGCGATGCGCTGGTAGGCGCTGCGCATGTGCTTGAGAATCACGGGGATCTGGCTGTCATCGGCCTGTGTGGAATGTGTAATGTGTAATCAGCAATAACAGCACAACTGTCAGCAAATCACCACTTATTATGCTCCAACAAATTGGCCCATCCCCCACCAGACAAATACACACGGATTTACGCAACTAATAAAATAAAACATTATCACTGTTCAATATTATTATGAAAAGATTTCGCCGGAATAAAATTACTGCACAATATTTCCGAATAAACTTTCATTCTCGCCTAACTCACCAGAGAAAATAAAAACCTTGAAATTTCCTTAAATAAATTAAAGTGATCGACATAATAAACCCGAAATAAATTTTCCATATTCCATATATTTTAAAACATTCAAAAAGTTGTGAATTTAAGTAATCGCTGCGAACGAGAAGAATGAAAATTGTCTATTAATTTTAGCCAACTTAAAGAGATTCTCCGAATGCAGTGAAAATGTAGTGCAGTGACATGTGCTTTCATAGTCTGGACGGAAAATACACGTGTAATACTCGTATCCAACAAAACTAAATGCATCATTTCGCAATATTCGAACTTACTTTTGTTAATTCTATCAATTTTTGCGTTCCTCTAAACTATTAAATTTGTACTATACTGCATGTACGAGTATCACTTATATTTATCGTTATCAAAACTTATTTTAAAACTTAACGCGCACATTTTTTGCTCTACTTCAAGGGAAAATGTGTAACGCCGTATTTTTTAAAGGAATTTGTTTATTTTGCGTATTTGTTGCACATTTGCGCGTGAAGCACAGCATAAAATGAGCGCGTTACGGTTAATTTTTAAAATGACATCTTTAAATAAAAAAAATAAATTCCTTATTTTTTAAAGGAATTTTTGGTTTATTTTGCTTATTTATTGTTTCATGCGTTATCCGTGAGATAAGCCAAAAATTAAAATTAAAGAAAAACCAAAGAAAAATATCAGCACATAAATACGGCATTCTAACAGTATTTTCGGAAGTTCTTAATTATTTTCAATTTCGCCGCACCTTAAAACCGTGGCACATGGTGATGTGGCTCAAATGCAAATGAGCCCCGTTGAGTCCGCACTGCTGTGCCGTCCGCTCCAGGAAGGTGTGGATGTGCTCGAGAAGTGGTCCGGATGGGCATAAATACACAAGATACTCGCGCTGCTCTTTCTTATTCAAATACGGATTGTCTTTATGCGCCAGAATCCAGTTAACCGCCGCCGCCACTCCGATATCACCGGTCCACGCGATGGCTTTCTCCCTGTTTTAACACCACCACGACACTGACGAGCAGGAAAGAGAGATGAGCAAAAAAATGTGTACAATCAGCAACCTCAAATATTCCGCCTATGTCTGTGTCAACAATAAACCGATACCTGAAACTTCAATGAGGAAAAAAATAAATACTGACACACACCAGAAAATAAAAAAAAAGCCCTGCGGAAAAAATCGCCGAGTTCTCTTGCAGTGCGATGCAAGTACTCGGAATACCAAATATTTTAAAAACCAAAAAAATAAATATAAATATTTATTATATTATACAGAACAGGGATTTCCGCTTTTCGCCACAGTGAAGTTCCAAACATATTCCGATTTGCTAATTCAGTTTCTATTTATTAAGGAGAAAATCTGCTTTGCCTCATTTTACATCTATTATGATTCATTTTTTTCGGTTTCCACAAATTTAGCAAAATTAATTTTATAAATCAATTTCAGTATCACGCACGAAAATTATTATCAGCGAACCTGGCTGCAAGATTTTATTTTAGTTTTAATTTACTTAAACAATTTAGAATTTAATCTGATTTTAAATAAAATTAACTTTTTTTCCAAACTGCGATTAATCAGAAAGCAGCGCGCTACTTCGGAATACGAAATTAAATTCTGAAAAAAATAAATAAAAATTTCAGGAAATTCTCAAAAACCTGCCACACAGTATCCCGCTCGCAAATTTTGGTGGAAAAAACGTCATACAAATTCAGCACAATTTACGCTACAGAAAACAAGCAGAAAAAACGGCACATACGCTCGGTCTTTGGGGAATCCCATGCGGACGAGCGCCTCGAGATCCCGTGAGGCCTGCGTACTGTGGGAGAAGAGGGAGGTGCTGGTGGAGGATGTGGAGGTGGCGTCGTGCTCATTATTGCTGACATTGGCATTAACCGCGTGATTAGCATTGTGCACGGACGACCGCTGCGGATGCGGATGATGCGTCGACGAAGCGGCCGCATAGTGTGCACCGCTCGGCGGATGTTTACCCGATTTTCCCTTGTTGGCCGAGGCACTCGGGCTGGAGTGGAAGTGGTTGTTCATTGGATCACACACAGGCAGAAATCACCAGAATAAATCCGCAGATTCAATTACTAATTAGGGGCATCTTCACGGCTTCAGGTTGATCAGATACGGAGGCATGATTACGTGATGACAAGGCAGGCAGTATGTATATATTCGTGTTGTAACGTGCATGGCAGCATGCTTGGTGCGTCAACAGTCTTCAATGAAAAGCGGATTATGATCTATCTATCCATTTCGCGGTTACTCGCTCTCTCTCGCTTTGTCTGTCTGCCTGCGCGGTTTAAAGACGGACTGGCATTAAAAATGCACAATCTGTGAAACGCACACACTTTACGGCGTTTACGCCAACTCGGCATTTGGGCCGGCTTTATCGAACGGCAGCGGCACTGAACGGCTTCGCATCGTCGGCAGAGACGCTGGCCAGGCAGACTCGTGCCGGGCCCGGTGGCGATGAATGGGCCGTTGAGAGTGCAGGCCGGATGTAATCAACTGTGGTGAGCAGGTGGAATCAACTCGGTGGCACAATAAAGCACGACGTAACCCGCGTCTTGGGGGTTGAGCGTAATCCACCGATTTCATACCGCCACTACCGTCTTGAAGCATTGCGGGAAATACTGTAATAATTGCGTAGCGTCCTACCGCCTATGCGGTCGTCTGCGTTTGCTGGTTTTCGTCAGTAATTCAACTCAAAATCAGCTGCACAAAAAGCATGTTTGATCCCATGCAAAGTGCAAACTCAAGCAGACAGCGAGAACGTTTTACTGTTAATTACTACTGTATAGTTCCACTTACAAAAAAAGATACTGCAGTTACATATGTATCTATCTGTACAGTCTGTACCATGTACGCCTTTAGTTCACCGTTTTCTCGTTCAGCGTTTCGTATGTTTTTTAACAACGAGCAGATCGTGCAGCTATATCATACAAATAATTCTCGGCTGCAGACGAGAGACAGGAGCATGAAAACGTTGGGCGAACAGACGGTTATCCGGACCGAGTGCGGCACCAGCGGGTAACGTCCTGTCCGTTAAGATACCACCATCTGCCGCAGTTATCACAGTCGACCACGCACTGTGCACCCGGCACGTTCGGACAGCGATCAAAGCGCGGATCACACCACGCTCGTATTGGGAAGCATCCCGGCTCGCTGTTTGGGGGACAAGACGGGGGTGCATCTATCAAAAAACCCAAGATACTAATTAACGGGAATCACGAATTAAAAACCACCCATCCAACATGCACCACCCAGGAGTCCAGGACCTACCGGATGTTTGGTTGCCAAATTGTGTAGTACTAGCAACCGTTGTGGTACTGGTTGACTCGGGAAGTGGATGATGCATTGGCCCATCGTACACCGTATCCCCGTAAAGTGATCCGTACAGCGGCTGTTGCAGACTGATTCCGCCCGTTGCACGATATCCTAACACTGGTAGGTGTCCTTGCCCAGGACGGCCAGCTCTGTACATGCTTTTACGAGTGTAATATTCAGGATAACCGACTCCTGGGAATTTCTGGCCAATATTCGCCAGTGGGAAGCGATAGATGGAGGACCGGCTGGGATCTCCTCGCCGCACTGACTCGACCTCATAATGCAGTCGCCGATCCGGCCGAACCGCATAGTACGGGCCGTTCTGTCGCATGTAGATGAAAAGGTCATGGTTTTGGCTCTTTTCCATACCCGTCGTCGCAACCTGAGAAAAACCACCCTGTAAACTACAAGGCGATTGAAACTTAATAGATTACATTCAGTTTTTAGTCTTACAGCGTAATCACCGGTAAAAACAACTGCTATTAAAATATTCGATAGTGTTTGAAAATAACCGATTTTTAAAGTGAATCTTCGCGTTACCGGAAGCATAAACCACTGGAAGAGGAAATACACGAGAGAGCAGCCAACTTGCATTATGTTAAGGATTTTTAAAGGAGAGCTGTATCCGTCCGAATCAGGCCGATATAAAAAAATGTACTCTAAAGACTAAAGCATGTGCTTTCGAAAATGTTCAGAAAGTGCATTACAGGCATGTGATATTATTTACGACCACAGACGGCGTTAATTAAATTTATCAAGATATTAAACCGAGCTTGGTAAATCAAGATATACCGATCCACTTTTACCGGTATTTGCATAACCAGTACAGCTTTTTGCTGCTACCAGAGGAAAGTGCATTTCGGCGATAAGAAAACGTATCGCGCACGATCTGATTATTGCATAATATCACGCACCTAGAGAGTTACAAAATTCAGGTGAATTTAATACATGACTGGGTGCGGCACAATCCTAAGACGGACAATTCACAGTTAAAGCCAAAAAAATTGCGTTTTTACTGTTGGAAAATTGATTTGCCAAAAGCACCATACAATTTTTAATAAAGTAGTGTATAGTTACGTGCCATATATAAAATTTTCTCGTTACAAAGGCTGCCGTTACCGTCAGTAGTTATCAAGTTGCAGTAACATTCTTGCCGGTATCATCTTAAAGAGTTCTTTGCACACGTCTTCCCGCGGCACGGCTCTACAGAGCACTGGAGCGGTACATTTGTGGGACAACTATTATCCGGTGGGCAGATGGTTGGGGTGCGGACGGTTGTTTTCGACGGATAGCGTAGTGAGGAAAGATCCTGCCCATTCAGGTACCATTTCATACCGCAGAGATCGCAGTTAACGACACACTGCGCCGTTGGGACACCGGGACAGTGGTCGAAGCTTGGATGACACCAGGCGCGGATGGCAACATAGGCGGGTGTGAATTCCGACGGCGGGCAAGTTGGGATGGAACCTATGTTAAGGGAACCAGCTTTACAAACTTTTGCCAAATGACTTCGCAACGCAATACATCCCAGTATTCATAGGGTGCTCATAGTATTCATATTCCTTAAGCGCGCTTTTTCACAGCATTAAGCCCAATCTTCGTTAAAAAACTGGTAAAGGTAATTACATGGTTGATTCGGTAAACCGTTGTCTGCAAGAAAGAAACTTACGAGAAAACAGCAGACCTTATACAGTACTCGTTTGATCATATAGATATGGCGTCGACTGGCACTAATTTTGGAATAAAATACTAGAGTAGTATGTACAGTGGACTTCATAAATGTGGTTACACTTAGCCACCCGTACACATAGCGCTATCGCCTTTAAGTGTAACCACATTTATTAAGTCCATTGTAGTACGCAAACACAGAATTAAACCACAATAAATTTCGTTTCAGTACGATTATTCCAAGTACAGTAGTAATAGAATAACTATAGAAGTAACCGTTGTGTAAAAGAAGGAAACCGTTGTGTTGCTGCGCAGTGTTGTTGTGTACTACTTAGTTATGGAAGTAAACCGGGTATTGTCGACTTGTGGTAGCGTTTGGCGTCGCAGTGTAACAAATCAATCAACGTTAACAGTTAAAGCAGTTAAACAAATTACACAGGAATTCATTCATTGCATATACCGGAAGTAAGAACCACTGGAAGACGAGAGACGTAACTGAGTGACCAAAATCCATTAGGCCACGGTTTATAAAGAAGCAAGAAGTGTTCGGCAGCGAGCGGTTTTTTACGTAGCGTACAAAGCGTAAGCCGGCGTTTTTGTTTATCAAAGTAGATTAAAATGATATGTAGGCATATGGTAAAATTTGAAGTAATATAAATTAGGAATAAAGACGGCGTACACAAAAATAATCGCATTTGACGAAACTCGATGCGGCGAGGCATTTTGCACAACTAGCCACCAACGTCGCGTTTTATTACCTGAAAATTAATTTGTCCAAAAAGGACATACAGTTTCAAATCATAATGTAAGTCTTTGCCGTTATGAAAGCATCAAATATGCACGAAGGCAACACTTTACACGTAGGCAATGTGAAATGCACCGGTACTTAACATGAAGCAGTAACATTCCTTCCGGTATTATCATAAAAGTACGCATTACAGCCTCCGCAGTAGTTATTACAGCACGTCGCGTAGGAGTTATTGGCGCACGTCTTCCCACGGCACGGCTCTTCGAAACACTGGACAACCGGCGTCCCAGCAGGGCAACTATTCCCCGGTGGGCAAACTGTAGTGGGAATCGCGGTACTGGTGACGGTGGCATTAACCCAGCACTGCGAGGAGACATCCTGTCCGTGCAGGTAAAATTTAAAACCGCAGCAATCGCAGTCAGCAACACACTCCGCCGTTGGCACACCGGGACACTGGACGTGCGAACCACACAAGGGTCCAAATTGCACGCAGAGGGGTCCGGGATCCGGAGGGCAGTTGCCTAGTACGTTAAGGGACCGTGGGCTTAATAATTAGTTTTAGCGCAACGTGATGCAAGTACAGTATACATAGGGTACACACAAAGGCTCGTCTACTGATCACAAGCTGTATGCTGTATTAATTATTCCGAAAACAAGACAACTAAACGCTATCTGCAGAATTACCTAGTTGTACGAGAGCTTGACATTGCACCATTAAGATCACCCAGTGCAAATCTGTAACCCGAACAGGGGTTGTTTGGGCCTGTCAAACTCCCCTGTTCGGGACCAGAAACCAAGTCCGAGGTGCCATTGTGCGGGCCAGAGAGCTCAGGCCTACCGGCAAACGGGCGGAAGGCCTATTTGTAGACCCACTCTGAGCAAGTTCTGGTTCCGCCTGGGCCTATCCAAACACGATATGTAACAGCATTCAGGCCCAGTCCAGACATTAATTGACTTTGATTTACAGTAGCTTTTTTATTTTATATTTACTTAAACCAACGCCTTAACACGACTTAGAAGCTTTATTATTAAGTGATATACAATTAGCAGGCTTTATTAATATTTATATAACATAATGAGCATGTAGCGCATCACATGCAGTGATCACAAAGCTGCTTTAATCACGTCATAAACATGTAAAAACAAGATGCACAGCGTATATGTATGTGTACAATCATTTCTCAGTATTTCGGCTCAATAATTTCGTAATTAGCATTCACATCAGCTCTGTTCGAAGGCGCCTCCGACAGTCCGACCCGATGGCATACAGCTTCTCTCGCAACTTCTTGTTGGAAATATTCGGCAGCTTCAGTGGGTTCATGCGCGTGCTGGCTGTGGGCAGGCGTTCTTGAATAATGTTCATCGGGAAATGGGGAATTTCTGCGAAAAATCCTGCAATTAAATATTTTACTTGTTAATCCACTCATTAGTCAATAAAAATAATAATTTTAACACTTTAAATCAATAATTTATTGCAGTTTGAAAATAACAAAAATGGACTACAAACAATCAGGTTTTTTTCCACAAACTGCAATTCACACACACGCGAAGTAAATTATCTACAATAAGGTGCGACAATAATAAATTATTTAAAAAATAGAACAACAGTAGTATGTAGTTTAATACGCGTTGTAGTTGCGTGTCCCATCAGAATAAATTTAGTGTAAATAGTTCCCATCAGTATTTAGTATAAACAGTTACGTGTCTCATCAGTATAAATAGTTTCCCAGTGCAAATAAACTATACGAGTATTTCTGCTTGTTTGCATATACTGATAATATTACTGTATTCAAATTACTTTTAACGCTACGCACGCACCTGCACGGGATCATCCTGTTTTCAAATTTCTATCAATTTCCACATCTTTCGGAACATTTTTGCTTGATCCTGAGCCGTGGAAGGTTTCGACAAGGCGGTTTCTCAGTGGAAAAAAGGGTTTTGACGATCAGACAACTGACGCAAGTCGAGAGCTGGCAAACTCCACGAACCGTTGGAACAGCGAAGGCTGAACTGCACGAAATTACAGCGCAAAAACAGTGCTCTCAACCAAGTCCCAAAAGCAGTCGTAACAAGTTTAATATGCAGAAAAATGCCTTCGTGATTACAACAGTTAAGTAGAACTTGAACAAAGGATAAGATAAAATCAAAGTAGAAGGAGAGCAATAATTATTGTTTAAAAGTTTGCAATTGCCAGAAACCAACACTGTCAGCACTTAGACAGTGATGTGCAATAAGTACAGTATGGTGCAGCTAGAGCAACGATAGTACCGCCTCCAAGCGCGGGAAAAGCGAACTACCCCGGCTGGCAGTTTCCAAATCGTCCAGCAAATTGTTTCAGTAAATTGTATTACAATTTACAATAATATTTCTTTAATTGCTTGCATGATTAATTTTGTTGATGCAGTAATAGTTTTTAACTTTGGATTTATGGAACCATGCTCATAAATTCCTTTTAAATAATATAATATAGATATTATTATATGCAGTGACTGCAGCGCGTTGTGTCAGTTTAAAGCAGTTATGAATTATTAGTATATTTTGTTATAATGTAATAATAATTCATAATAGAGCGCCGTAATATTAAGTAATAATATTATTATTTCTTATTATTATTGGGCTCTATTCGGACCGGATATACGACATTATACGTACGTAATACAATATGAACATTGCATACATGTGCTTACATACTGCCGGTCAATTATCATGGCTTCTGAATCAATAGGAATTCTGTAGCTGACATCGCTAGATTTTGTTGGCTACCTGAATTAAAACACCCAGATAAAAAAAACTTTATTTGTGGGCCAGAACTACGATTTTCTGGGCCAGAATATTTCAGCACCACGCTGGGCAAGTTCTTCCCACGAAACTGAACCAGATCTGGCCCACAATACGTTGGCCCGGAAATGCCATTATCCTGGAACAGAAAATGTTCCGGATAGGCCAGAATGTTTCGTGCCCCGATCGGGCTTGATTTCGTTTCTAGAAATTGCACTGGGCAGTGATAGCACTATAGCGGTAATACCCAGGACAATGGATAACGCTTTATTCCTCCCGGGCATATTATAATAATCTTTATTGTTAGGACTTTTAAAATCTGGCTACGAGGAGCAACAATGGCAAAAATTCTGGTTGAACAATTTTATGTTGTAGCAAAATTGCACTGATATGTTGTACGCAGCTCGCTGGAAAATTGCAGTGGGTTATCAGCCGAACATAGCCACGTTTACTGCATGGATTTTTACGCGTTCTTTGGCAGCCTTAGGTACATTCTTCAGTAAAAAAACAGTGAAAAAATTGTAAAGGGTTATTGACATCGTTGTTTTGTTAAGCCGTCGTTTACTTGAAAGATACGAGAGTACGGCAAATTTTATGCTAGTACTGTACTCTAAGCAGGGCGCAATCCGAGGGAAACCGAGAAACGGCTGAAAAAGGCGCCGATGGGGGAATCGAACCCCGGCTACGTCGTTAGATCCGCGTAGGCAGTACCACTGCACCACGGCGCAATAAGTTGAAATCCTTTGAAAGATTTTGTCGCTTTACGTGAGCCGCTTCTCGCCTCACACCCCCTTTGCAGCTTTCGCTACGTCCTCGTAGCGAGACTAAGCGATCCTTCAAGCGGCGGCTCCGGCTCACCGCATCCTCTATTCATTTTATCATTTTATTCGTTTTTGCTCTGTTCCTCCCGTTCGAGGTTAGCACACTGGTCTCATAGGCGAAGTGGACGTACCGAACCTTGATCTGCTACCATCTAAGCAGGGCGCAATCCGAGGGAAACCGAGAAACGGCTGAAAAAGGCGCCGATGGGGGAATCGAACCCCGGCTACGTCGTTAGATCCGCGTAGGCAGTACCACTGCACCACGGCGCAATAAGTTGAAATCCTTTGAAAGATTTTGTCGCTTTACGTGAGCCGCTTCTCGCCTCACAGTACATTACTTGTTTAAACACACAAATAAGGCGCTAACCATCATGTACAAGGTAGTACGGAATAGCAAGTTATTGCACTTGTTTGATTGCGAGGTATTGTGCAACAACGTTAAAAGAAGAAAACCGGTGTGTAAGTAGCAGCAGTAAGTAGCAGGTGTGTAAGTAGGTGTGTAAGTAGCAGTGTAAGTTATTGCACTTGTTTGATTGCGAGGTATTGTGCAACAACGTTAAAAGAAGAAAACCGGTGTGTAAGTAGCAGCATATTGTTGCGTACGCGTACCTGTATGATTGTGTCCTCAATAAGATTTAAAACTTTTCTTGGACACTTATTATTGTTATACGAAATACAAACCGCATCGTTATCGTACTATTTCGCAAATTCAACGTACGCAGACATAAAGATTCTGTAATAGACATAAAGATTCTAGTACTGTACATGAGCTTATCAGCTAGAAACTCAGCATTAAATACGTATACGGCCAGAAAAGCAGCGTAGAATGGAAGTAATGCTCTGCACAATAGGCGGATCTAAATTTCATATTGCGCCTGTATATCAGGTACCCGGATATGTTTTATTGGCTCTATATGCATTCCCACTCGAACATTGAGGTAAACATCGAAATATTTTACTTGGATCAGCAAATTTTCGGCTCCATACCATTTTTCACCGTTTCTCTTTTTAGCGGTAACAAGACGCTTGGACACCGTATAAGACTGCAGGTTATGCAGCTTATTATTAGCCATATTAGGAAAGTAATTCTAGACGGGAGAGAACGCGCTGGCTGTACTAATAGTTACCGATATCCGGACCGAGGGCGACACTAGCGAGTAACGTCCTGTCCGTTAGTGATCCGCACAGTGGTCGCTGCAGATTGATTCCGCCCGTCGCACCATAACCTAACACGGGCAGGTGTCCTCGTCCCGGGGGATCTGATCCGTAAAGGCGCTTACTTATGTAGTAATCAGGATCAGCGGATTCTGGGGATTTCTGGCCGGTATGTTGGATTGCCCCGTCGTAACCGCCCCGTTAATGTAACCGCCGACCCGCGTAGTAATGTCCGGTAGGTCGCATACAAGGGAAAATATCGTGGTTCATCGTCGTATCTATCATACTCGCCGTGGGAATCTGTGAAAAGCACCCAGTAAACAAGGAACTGCATCCACCGGACCTTTGTAAGCAATTAAAGTTTATTACACGTTTAACACGGTCCGTGCGCATTTATTTAGCAAATCAGTGTTAATATTTGAAGAAAAGAGTGGCAGTATGTAGTGAAGCAGTTGAAGAACTAAACAGAAATTCAGCCATAGCATTACGGGGAATATGGACCATGGGAAAAAGAAAGGCACAAGAAAGTGAACAAAACCCGGTTGAGAAACAAACAAATAACATCTGTCCAAAGCCGAAAAAATGTACTCTGTTCGTATCTTCAAAACGTGAGCCGGTCGGCGTCTGTGTTTTTCAAAGTTTTATAGAGTGGAATAATATAGGCATGTGATAAAGTGAAAATTATGTCTAAGGACGGCGTACATAAATTAATCAAGATATTAAACCGCGCCTGATAAATCAAGACACTACCTTTTTTTTGAACCGGTATCTCCATAAGTGATACACTATACGGCTTTTTTTTAAATTCTAAAATCATTATTACCAAAACCACTGGAAATTCGTGGGCAGGCTGCAAGAAAGATGGTCAGCTTTTTTGGGCGGCTGATAAGTGGAAGGTCTTGGGAAACAGATGTGCGGCTTTCTTGAAACAGTGTATTAGTCTCACCATAATTAAAGGCAATGCACGCTTGATAATACTAACGATTTTGGTTATTATTCCACGCTTAAGGAAAACGGCCCGGTACATGGTGTCAGAAATGGGATACATACACTAAAACTTTCGCTTTCGCGCACTTCGAATCACTTTTTTTGTGATACTTTACGTCATTCTACAGCTAAATGATTTTTATCATTGTTCCGAAAACCATTTGCCCGCGCAACATCCGGTTGTCGAGATATGGCGAATCAAATTGGGCGAAAAGTTTAATGCATTGTTGTGTACCAAAAGTCTGGTTATTACCCGATCTTCTTTTTTTTCTTTTACCAGCCAGATCAGTGCATTGCTTATCAGTTGTAAAAATGATTATTGCGTAACCGACAATAGTCCCGTTTTCGGAGGCATCACCTTCGCTTTGCTTTCGTCAAATATTGACAATAAAAAATGAAATCGTTTTAATCAATTCCAATACAAAAATAAAAAGAAGAACAAGAAAAGCTAAAACTTCGGCGCTTTGTTGATACCCATTACCGAATCGAAGTCGGTAGCGCCATACGTATGTGTGGGTATGCTTTAATTTCAAATTGAAGGTTACTGACGCTAGGATAGTAGGAAGTGTCGTACATGCTGACTTTTGTACGAGTTTACGATTACTTCTGTTGTCGCTAATTGGTGGATAATTCATGACTCACTAGCGCTAGAATGATCCCATGTTAAAAGCGGTTTTATCTCTCGTGAACTTGGGTGTGCAATTAATTAGTCTTGACTGGAAAATCTTAAAAATTGCAGTTAAATAATAACATCCTGAATCAGAGATACTGTATTTGGTGTCTTCTCGTAGCGGAAGCATTAGCGTGTACCCACAGGAAGTCACATCCCTTTTAATAACTCTGGATAATTACATCTTCCAGAAATCACTCGTGCACGTAGGAATAGGTAGCAGTTTGGTAAGTAGAACTTTGACAGAAGAAAACATTTATCTTTCTTATTTTCCCACTTTGTCGATTGAGTAAAGTTTGGTCATCTAGTGCGGTAGTCGTAGTACGACTTCCGCATAGCATGTCATTACTGTGCAACGTACGAGTACATGCGCCCACGATGAGTTCTTGTCAGCTGCCAATGCAATTTTGTTACCTATTCCTACGTGCAGGGCCCATCCGATGTTTGGAAAACACTTACAGTTTCCAAGCTTCGATTTCTGGAAAACTATTACTTAAGCAAATTCCATGAATGCCTCCAAAAGTCAGCATTATTTTCGCCAAGGTTTGGAGAGCTCAGATCGGCAGAAAACGCAAGCGTTGTCTCGCAGCCATTCCTATAAAGTCGTTTCTTTGCGTTGGGTAAAATACATCTTCAAAACAATCACTTCTTGATCGACATCATTTGATTTTTTTGGAACGTTTTCTCTATTCCACATCTGGCATTATGAACAACTTCGTAACATTGCCTCTGCTGGCCGCCTTCCTGGCGCTTTCGGTAAGTTAATTACGCAAACTGCATGCGGTTTACAGAAAGGTAATTACATCAGAATACGAATACAAGAAGCGCGCGCAGTACATAATTAATGGAGGTTTATTTAATCCAGGGAATATAACGAATCGCACCCGGTGATATCCCCATGTTTTGCCAGAACGCACTGGGAAAGGGCTGCATCATGACCTCCTCAGGCGAATTTGTGGAAGTCCCGGTCGACTATATACTCGTAGAAAAAACTAAAAGCGAAGCAATATAAAACCTGACCATCCTAAACGGCATAGACAATTAGTACCAGATCCCAAAACGCCTAAACTGCTGACTCAAAACTTTATTCGCCGATAACATGATTTCCAAATTACCAGTACCTGTATTTAAAATGACTTGCCGATTTAAGAAAATGAAAATCATTTTGTCTTCAGAATTACTGAATTTGTATATCTGAAATGCTACGTTGAATCAATTGGTAAAGTGCCTATGTGACTATGGTCTGTACATACATTGTACAAATATACCTGTACTTGCGCTTGTAAACAAAAGTTTTTCTTCTGTGCTTGCTTTCGCAGGATGTACAATCAGTATCAAACAAAAATTATAGCCTGATTTCTTAAGTAGTTTTTGAAGTAATAACAAATTTTATACATAGAATTCCGGTTGCTGAGATTTGGCAAATTAAAAATAACAAAAGGTGTAAAAAAAGAGATGAGCGTCAACAGGAGAATGTTCGATGTAGTAACATCAAAAGTAAATGCTGATCGGGATGGAAAGTCATAAATACAGCTAACGAAATTACGTTTTCTTACTGGAAAACTGATCTGCCAAAAAAGCTGTCGTACAGTTTGAAAATTACAATACTTCTATAGATCTTCACCGCTATAAATGCTTCAGAGATGCACAAGATAACACGATACACCTAAACCATTTGAAATTCACCGGCCCTTAACAAGTTGCAGTAACATTCTTGCCGGTATTATCATAAAAATACGCGTTACACCCTCCACAGTAGTTATTACAACACGTCGCGTAGGAGTTCTTTGCACACGTCTTCCCGCGGCACGGCTCCACAAAACACTGGACAACCGGTGTCCCAGCGGGGCAACTGTTCTCCGGTGGACAGACAGTGGTGGGAAGAAGAGTGGTAGTGGTGGGAAGGGCAGTGGTGACGGTAGTATTGGCCTGGCACTGCGCGGAAACATCCTGTCCGTTCAGGTACCATTTAATACCGCAGTTATCGCAGTTAACGACACACTGGGCGGCTGGCACACCGGGACACTGGTCGAAGCGCGGATCACACCAGGCGCGGATGGTCAGGCAGACGGGTTTGGAATCCGGCGGGCACGTCGGGATGTAACCTACGTTTACGGGAACGTGGGTTTAATAAACCTCTGCCAAATGATTAAGCGTAACCGTATTGCATTTACATATGCATAGGATACACATGGTACTCGTATAGGTTGATAGGAACTGTATTATTTAGAAAAGATAGCAGCTGAACGCTACCTGCAGAATTCCCCGAGCTGGTGGGAGCTTGACATTGCACCGTAAGGATCAGCGATAATACTGCACTGCTAATAACCGGTACAACGGATAACTTCTTACTCCACTCGGCCATGATGTATTAATTCTTAGGAGGTTTTCCAATCTGGTTACAGGGAGCAGAGGGGGCAAAGTGCTGGTAAGGCAGTTCTTAGATTGTTGTTCAGTTATATTGATATAGTGTTATGTTGTGCAGTAAATCATTGTACATTGGTTAAGACCGTGTTGTCTTGCTGTTCAGCTTGTTTTCCAACGAAAATAGCAACGTGTAACTACATGGTTTCTTTAACGCGCTCTTTCCCAGCCTTAGGCACCATCTTGACCAAAAAAACTGTCAAAGGTTATTGACATGGTTGTGACTGTTGTGCTAACCCGCTTACTAGAAAGATTCGAGAAACGGCAAAATTAATGACTTTGTTATATTAGTCGTTTAATCACATACAGAGTAGATATGGCACTAATGCCATGCGCGCGGAGGCGTACTACGGAATTAGACCGCACTTGTTGTAGTACGCGAGTATTGTGTAGTATTGTCCGGTAACAGCATTGTGCAGTCATAACAGGATTGAACCGTCGTATAACAGCGTTTTATTAGTCGTCAAAGCGTCATACTGTGTAAGTAAGCATTGTACGTATAATTGTACGTATGTATGTAAGCATTGTACGTATGTATGTACGTATAATTTTACCGCATATGTACTTATGATTACGAGTACTAAGTAGCGATTATGATCGTACTACTGTAAATAAAATTCAACACCTTTTCTTCGACAATGTCATAGTACACAAGGCACCCTTAAATATTTTATCGGAATATTTCGCGAATTCAACGCATTTCGGATGCAAACATTCTGTAACACATTTTCTGGACCAGAACATCAGCGCTAGTACGACAGACTGTACTTGCACGGACGTAACGTAGAAGTAAGCAATAGGCGGATTTCCAACTCCAGAATGTTCCTACGGAATAACTACGCAGATACCTACTGTTGACCCTATTCCCTCCTGAACATTGACGACAGACACTGGAATACCTCCCTTTGATCAGCAGATTTATGGCTGCATGGTCAGATCATGTTCCAGATTGTACACAGCTTCGTCATCTGTCACGGTTCAAGGCCGCTGTACCATAGTGGGAGAAACTCACTATTAATAGCAGAGACAGCTACAACAATTATATTGTACAGCATCTACTGCACGGTAGTAAATACCAATAACATTGCATTTTATTGCTCCTCTCCGTCCTCTGAGATCCCATTATCCGACAAAACACGTCACACAGTTCACTATCAACGCCGATCAGCGCATTAATGCACACTGGAACCAGCTAAACATATAGGAGCAAAAGTCACAATCGTGCTTCGTTGTAACGCATACTGCGCAGGCCAGCGTATACCTCTGCAGCTCTGGCTCTGCTCTCAGCTCTGCTGGAACTTTGTACTGTTGGAAATTTGTGTGCATCGGCTGTGTTGCTGCTATTATTCAGTTTTTGAACCGCAGATCGGTTGGCCATTTCTACTTTTTCAGTCCTACATCGTGTAGTTGCAGCAATGTCCAATTCGTCCAACGTGACCGAACTGCAATGGAACGGCACCGCCACCTCCCAAGCCGTCTTCTCCGCCGTGACCTTAATCATCAACGCCTACGTCCTGTACCTGCTGATCCGCCACGACAACCTGCGGACCCCGTTCAATCTCTACCTCATCAATCTCCTCAGCGCCAACATCTTCCTCACCCTACCCGATCCATTCCGCGTCATGAACGCCGTGGAACTGCGCTGGTCCTTCACTTCCTTAGCCTGTAACGTGGTCATCTACAGCGATTGGGTGGGCAGCGCCGGGGTCCTGCACGCGCATCTGCTGATCACGTTAAACAGAGTGTGGGCGTCCACCTTTCCCATCTCCTACCGCAATTATCACACGTTTAAAATGGCGGGATTGTTGTGTATTTTAATGTGGGGATACAGCCACTTATTGCCGGGTCCGTTGTTGGTTATTGACTACTTCTATAACCGACCGAATATGGAGAACACTACGGAGTGCTCTGTGGTTAGTGACCAGCAGCCGGGATATGCGAAATTCTTGGAGATTTGGGTGTACGATGCACCAGTGTTTTTGATCTTTTTGTCATATCCGTTTTTATACTGGAAACGGCGCCAACGCGCCAAGGTTTGCGTGGGCCAAGGTAGGGTCGAGTTTCAAAATTTTTAAGTCATCTCCAAAGGGCTTGAAATAAAATTTGGTTTAAAAGAAAGCGAATAAAATAGCATTTTATAGTACTTCCAAAAAATATTTTACAAGAGCAATTTTTTGGCTTGTTAGGTTTAAATGGTTAAACTAAACGATCACGTGTTTACGAGTAGTTACAAGATTCTGACGAATGTTCTTTTTTTGTTACTCGAACTTATGTGATTTCGCTTGAAGTAACTGTTTCATCAGAATTTCTTATACATATTTACAATTTTTTTTCCATTTCAAATTATTCAAAAACGCGGGAGTCCGTTCCATTTTCGAATGCATTTGGTTTGACCTTTGACGTTTTAAATTTGGCATGTTTTAATTTCAACACTAGGGCAGGGATCCACCACCCTCCACGCAGCGTCCAACACTGAAGAGGGCGGAGGGAAGCGAAAGGTCAAGGATGGGCGGCACGGTTTCTGGGTGCTGACGGCGTTGACCTTGAGTATCTTCCTCTGCTGGACGCCGACGAAAATCAACGGGATTCTCACGGCATTCTTCGATAAGGATCTGCCAGAACTGAAGGAGATCGGTGACGTGCTGTACTCACTACAGGGAATTCTAGATCCGCTGTTGTTTGCCATTACTATGCGGGACTTGCGCGAAGCGATTCTGCGAAGCGTGGGGTTAGACAAAGCGCCTTGTTGTGGGAAATCTCTTGCCAGGAAGGGAACGGGAAAGTATTGATTGCGGTGCCGGTTCGATGCTGCCGTTGTTAGTGTAGACAATTGCCCTGTGTACATGCTTACTTCCTGGTTGTCTCGACAGACATCACAATTATGGTTGCTGTACATAAAAGGCTCTTTATGTTTCCAAGAATTGGAGCGGTCGGAATAACGTAACGTCACTGCGGCTTGCCTTATACACGATGCTGTACATGCTTTACATGCATTACCAAAAAACATCCTATTTATATTGGCCATCCTCGCATGTTGTGGCTTTCTGTGATCTTTGTGAAGGCTTATCGGCTTCAGTAAAAGTTTCTGTATTTCACTTCAACCGTTGCCGTTTTAAATCGACGTAGCCGAAAAAGCTACCAAATTGATGAGGTTCTCTGAATTAATCTAATAACACTGACATTTCTAGAGGCTGCATTAGCTAGCGATGAAGTACTGTAATCATGGTACGTATGTGGTTCACCTCCAATAAAATAATAATTCTACATAGTACTCCGCACGACTCCGCACGACACAGTCTACAGCATATAAAACTAACCGGTTTGCAGTATTGCACACTATATGCTGTTTCAGTCAGAACACTTTCTTCTATCGGTGCCCAACAGAATTTTAAAAATTAAAACACGTTTAATGACATTTGATCAGTACAAGTATATTCTGTATGCACACAGCACATGCACGCAATGATACCGTTAAATCGTCATACGGTAAATTTGCCAGTCATACTGTACTTATCAGCTGTCGGTATAAAGAACAGGTATTCTGCACAGTCATCTACAATCAATGGTACGACCACCGCAATGCGCACATGAAAAATACCGGCTCGGCAACAACATCTACTTGTAGAGTCTAAGAGATAAACCACATCGATTGACTGCATTCCGCACTAACCGTAGCGTCTGTAAAAATTATCGGTATCACGTTACGTTGGTATACCTGTTCTTATCAGCCTTTAAGTCTAATTCTAAAACCATGGCGCACCAAGATGCAGGGAAGAAATTCGAGGAAAGCGGCCTTGTTCCAGATATTTTGGATAGTCCACCCGGCGAGGCTCTTAAGGTACGGCGTAATCTTTAGCGTCACAAATTAAATAGCGTGTAATATGTGGTTCAAACGACTTGAATTGTACCATTTTTTGCACGGTTCTCCAGACTTTGTGCCATACGCAGTGTGACGTATTCGCACTGCATTCACCTTCTTTGCTTTAAATAACGAACAATTAGGATTATTATAGCGATAAGTAGCTGTACGACAATCGTACGGAGCCCGAAAATTGGATTCTGCAGGTTTCTTATCCGTCTGGCGTGGCACCGGAATTCGGCAACGAACTGACGCCGCGACAAGTCAAAGACCAGCCGACCGTCACATGGAACGCCAAAGATGGCGAACTGTACACGCTGCACATGTCCGGTACGTCATAAAGAATGTTGAATGTTGTCTACGAGCAGCACATGCTAAACACGAAGGATTTCCGTTATTTCCTAAACAAAACATGTTTGTACCTGATAAATATTTTACAGATCCGGACGCACCCAATCGACAGAACCCGGAAGTCGGACCGATTAACCACTGGCTGGTAGTGAACATTCCGGGAGGTAATATTCAGGCCGGCCAAACTATCACGGAATACCGTGGAAGCCGGCCACGCCAGAATTCAGGTAAATGATTCGTTCATGTTTCTGCCATAGCAAAACTGCACTTTTCTATCAAAAAGTGGTTATAATGGGCTGATTTATTGTAGGTCTGCATCGCTATGCGTTTATGGTGTTCCGTCAGACCGGCTCCATCACTGTGGACAATCCGGATCTGGCTGAGAATCGCCGCAAATTCCCCATTCGGGATTTTGCCAAGCAGCATAATTTGGGCCAACCCATCGCGGGCAACTTTTATGTGGCACAGTTTGACGATTATGTCGCCAGCGTTATTTAAAAAGGCCTCGGAAGAATGTTACGTAATTGGCACTGCCATGCAAAAGCACCATTTTGTTGTATCATGCTACATTAAAAATTTTTATTTCGCATCGTTTGATTATGGAATGAGCCGAAGAAGTATCGGTATTATATTGGTACTAACCGCTATTTTACCGATCTACGTTGGCAGCTCAACTTTTAAAACAGGGTCGTTTTTCATTAGGTAGCTGCAATTACATCCAATAAAACACCACGTTAGCAGCTGCTAACTCGCCCACTTTGGCATTCGAAAGCCATACATATGCAAACATTACTGTAGCGGCGGTTTCAAGTTAGACCACAGAGTTTGTTTACCGGAAAAATGCGCACTGGATATACCCACGCTGCACGGGCAAAATTCACGATATTTTACCAGCAAATCAAAATCAGAGTTCCTTGAGCTGTTGAGCAACGTTCATGTTTTAATAATTCATTTAATTAATTAATAATATCTTGAAATGAAAAATCAGCTAGAATCTGTATTACAGAAGGCTGAAAAGTAATGTATACAAAGCAGAGCTCTGATGACCATGTTGGTTTGTTGTGGTTTTTGGGGGGCCCCTGCACGGGGGAGACGGTTTTTGGTCAGCATTGGTGAATAAGCTTACAGGATGGGCGCAAAAAGGCGATGATTTTCAGAGCTCCGATTTTTAAAAATTTTTGGTGAAAAGTAGTTAAAATTACGTGGAAATTTGCTATCAGAAATAAGAAAATGTAAAATGGGATTTGTGTCGTGAATTTTTCCCGTGCAGCGTGGGTGTATCCAGTGCGCATTTTTCCGGTAAACACACTCTGTGGTCTAACTTGAAACCGCCGCTACAGTACTTACTGCAAGTACTGCGAATAATGTTAATAATGTGGTCAGTCTCTTTACTTACCCTATGGCCTATTCCACAATATCCCTCGCGTTTTCTCCATCTACCGTTAATTATCCCGAGTTCCTGAGATTTTGTATGCTTTCTTATGTTATGTTTTCTTATGGCTCTTAGGTTTTCCTATGCTTTCTCATGCCTTCTTAGGTTACTTATGTTATTTCATACATAGGTTGTCTTATGTTTACTTGTCTTACAGATAGGTTTCTTGTCGAGATACCTACATGTGACATGTGGATACGTAAAACTAAGAGATACTGCCGAGATACGGTGAGATAAATCATACGGCAATGACAAAACAACTTCACAAAATTAGGAGAATACATGGGGGATACGTACCGAATACCGTGGATTACAGCGGGCACTGTAGATACTAATAAAAAGGTACCCTAAAAAATTTAACGTGTAGGAAGTCCAAATCGAAAAATGTTGGCCAGTACTCAGTAGTTTGCTAGTAATTCAATTCTGAAAACATTACCTGCCGCCCTTGCCAGAGTGTTTTACGACGTGAGTCAGGGAAGTAATCGACTATTTGGTTATTCGGATCTAATGGATTATTTGGCGGTTTGCATGACATTGAAAGACTTGCCGGAGATTTGTCGGGTTGATGTACAGGTACCGGTGTGCTCTGTGTGGAAGAGGAGCGCGCTGGCAATAGAATTTTTGGATAGACTGTCAAGAGGAGATTGGAGAGGTCAGATATGCGTCAAGGAACTAAATAGCAGCGATAAACTAACATCAACAAACGCATCTGGAGAGGTCGGCAGGAGAGGACTTACAAATGATTCGAGAATTTGTACCATTAGAGCAGCCCGACGTTGCAGAGTGAAAAAGCGCCCGTGTGCCAACGGGCTGAGCGAAAGCACAAGCAGATCTGACAGATGACAGCTCCGTCTGACTCTGGCGTGAGCTGACTCTGAATTTAACATCAGTTAGCAAGCAAATCGACCTTTTCAATATAGTCGTACAGTGCACTGCGCTGCATGCGTACGGAATGTGGATATGTGAGTGTGCGACCATTTTGTCCTACGTTGTAGCAACATCAGTAAACAGAGCATTAGCGTTATCATCGCACTGCCGATTTGCTCCAGACATAATCGCAGATTGCACAGTATGGATGTAAAGTATTCAGCGCTGCTGTAGAAATTCCATAACGATTAGAGGATCCTCCAGTCTTACAAAGATATTGGCGTATAACAGATTCATTATATAAACACCAAGTTTCGGCTTGTCATTAAGCGCCATAGCGGTAAAATGTATCCGTTGGACAGCAGCTTTACCGCAGCAGAAACGGCTGCCGGCGCAGCCGAGCCGCTTAAATCGAGATTGTTGGCTGTGGTATTGGACGGCATCCTAACCTCCGAGCAGCTGGCGCAAGAAGAACAAAACATACAATTGAATTTCTTGAACTCGATCTTATAATATGTGACTTTGCAGTTTTGCATTGTAAGGGTGTAACGTTAAACCTGCTGTTATTTTTTGAATGTTGTTACTTTACAGTATGCAAATACGGTTTGTGTATACGCATTTTCACACACGAATCCAGGGAAACAGCAAAACTACACCTCGTATTTCTGGTGTTGTTATGTTGCAGTCAAAGGGCATCACAAGATACAGAAGAGCGAAATTAATAAGCGTTCTGTACTTTATCACGAACTCTGTACTTTACCTGCCGTAGGTAAAATTTATTCCATCAATTTCCCGGCAGAATCATTGACATTTTTATTATCACTCAGTTTCTATGTAGAAATTAAATCCGCAGATGTAGCTTAGGATTAGATACTTAGATCAGCAAAATTTAAAGACGGATAACAGGTACTACAGTAGCCTAAATACTGGTATGAATTACGATTAGGAGCAGAAGTAATTATATTCACCGGTAGGACCGAGTATGGTTTTGAAAGTCAGTATGAGAATGGAGTTTTGATTGTGAGTATGAGCATGATAAGTTGAGAAAGGTTATGAGTATGTACTTGTATTAGGTTCATCCCTAGCCTACCTGTCTCATCTTTTTTCAGAAGCTGGTTGACATATGGCCACTGCGACACGCATGGTGCATGGATATAATTCGTAAATTTTGGAAATTCATTTTAAAATCGGAAAAAAATGCTATGGATCTGGGATTGGTTCACTTTCGACTTGATAACCTTGAGTCTTTTACAGCAAAGTTAGAAGAAGATCGGGTAATAACCAGACTTTTGGTACACAACAATGCCTTTAAACTTTTTGCCCATTTTAGTACGCCATATTCCTTTAACCGGATGTTGCGTGCGCAAACGGTTTTCAGAACAATGTTTACAAATCATTTAGCTTTAGAATGACATAAAGTATCACAAAAAAGTAATTTGGAGTGCGCGAAAGCGAAAGTTTTAGTGTATGTATCCCAGTTTTGATACCATGTACCGGGCCATTTCCCTTAAAGCATATCGCACAATAGCAAACTGCATGTGCGGTTTGCGTGCGGTTTGTGCTCATTTACAGAGTACACAATTGACTGGCTGAACGCTTGCGGCTAATAGCGCTAATTTTCTTGTGTCTGTATCGTGTGACCAATTTGTGCTTCCGAAAGGAGTAAACACATCAGTTACACATCCATGAGCATAAGACGTGATTTAGCATCCGTAGAATCCAGGAAATTTCTATGGAAGTAATTATTACAGCTAACAACAGGATCATAATTACTCGTCAACGTAGAGCCTGCTTTTTTGATGTTTTAAACTAGGCACTTTGCGCGAGCGCATTGGCAGTTTTAATCACGTAGATTACCTTGCAAAAACCATAACAGCCAGCTGTACGTGGCGAGTACTGTAATCCCGAAACCTGTATCCTGTAGAAGACGCACGTTCCGTGATACACTGCAATTCTGACATCCTGTGACAGCCTAATTTACCTTATCTTATTAAATTTTGGTATTTGATACTCTTCTATACAGTAATATTGAGTGTTCTCGTTCACAATGCAATTTTAACTTTCTTGTTAATACTTCTATGGGCAAGCTTACAGCGGAACCAGTTCATCGGCATTATTATTTTTTTTTAAATTTCGCACAAAGTTTTGCGATTGATGAAATTTCAGAAAACAACAGTCATAATAACACATTATACTTGTTATTATTATACTTGCTCAAAATTAGATTACATAAAGCAAGCTTTTCGAAAAGGTTACACTTTTCACAACAAGAGCAATGCACAAAAACAAATCCGTTTTGGTTAACACTCGCCCTATTTTCACTGCCTTTCGGCACATAAACTCGTTTGACAAATGCCGATGTATCGAAAAAAAAACGCTCAACCTCAAAATTATAAATGAACAAAATTTAAGGACTTTCGGTGCTCGAAGCGATCACCACTGCCGGTGGGGCAGCGTATTTCAGTTTTCATCTTGCAAATTTCTGAAAATTCCCATTCTTTTCGTTTTTGATTTTTCTCACAAAAAGTGTTTTCTTTTATATTACTTTTGTTAAAAAATTGAGAACAAATGGTGAGGAATCATTTTTAGTAAAAATGTGTCGATTGAAACTCGGCTGGTGCGAAACCAGTCTTTATGCCTTAACGGCGCATAAAAACTCAAACAGGCATCATAGCTCAAACAGGCATCATCACGAGTGTTAAATAAACGAATATATGAATATATGGATATACGAGTATGGATGTACGAGAAAAAAATTATCTGACTGATTTCCCGTTCGCCGCTAACACGTTGTTTCGTCTTCGCTTCTTTCACGGTACCAAAGCATAGGCAAACTGCGCAGTGCGTACTTATTATATAATAATCCACTTTACAGTAGGTATACAAACTGTTATAAAATATACAACGTAATACGTGATGAAGTACTTACGCGTTATGTAACTTGCATACGAAAGAGATGCACCTTCTTAGATCTTACCGACTCAATCGATAGCCGTGCCCGTGTTCAATGTCAAGGCCAGATACTCAAAATCGACAGCAATGTTTAAAAGTAGTGAAATCATACTTACTGATAATTTTTGCAATGTCAGGGCCAGAGACTCAAAGTCGACAGCAATGTTTAAAAGTAGTGAAATCATACTTAATGAAGTTCAGACTTGTGCATGCGGGCACTGCAGTTCACATGTGCTCAGAATATTTCAGAGTCATTGATTGCATGGGCATCAATGCCGGAGTTAATTTTGCGTTCGTTATACCGCGTTGCGGAAAGTTTATGACTATCAGACAGAGAGTGGAATGTAGAGAATTAATTTCTCTACATTCTGATATGTAATGCATCAAGTCTAACCTTATGGAACGATTTTAAAATGCGTTTGAAGGAAATAGTCCCGTTTTGCTTTGCTGCATCGTACTGCCAAACGAGGATGGTGGCAGTATAATAAGAGATTTGGAATTTGGATCGTTTTGGTAAAGTTCTCCTTGAAACGCTTGCCTCAATTTTTCTTGGACACTTTGAATAACAGATTGTAGAGAAATTAATTTCCTACATTTTGGTGTGAAGTGAGCAGGTAAAACTGCTCCAGAAAACTCAGTAGGAGCGCAAAAGGCTTGTACCACTACATACGTGAATGTAAAATCTGACTCTGAAATATCAGCCGCGCAAGTGTGTACAGGGAATTTGCCAGGCCCGTCTGCACAAGACTAAAGCGGCTGTTAGAGTTAAGAGTCATTTCTGGTCGCAAATGTTAAAAGGACGCTGTTAGAGCATCTCAACGTAAACTCTTAATTTACCGCTTTGAAGGAGTTTCTAGATGTTTACTTGGGAAACAAGTGGGAGGTTATGCAGCTATGATTTAGGATTATCAGTATCAAGCAACTTTAGGTCACGGTTCAGTATATTAGGCGGTGAGCTCGTCCTTTATCTTAAGAACGAAAGAGCTAAAACCCACAGCCTCTTCTTGAAGCAGTATTCGACTATCTGTCATTCGGGATCAGGTTATGCGTATCCTGTTAATCTGGCTGGGACTGAAATTCCAGCCTTTTTGAGCCACCTCCGAAATGATCTGAAATCAGATTCGAATCCTGAACAGAAAATATATTCGTTGCGTTTATACTTTACAGATGCGATTGAAAATTTGTAATTTTCTAATTCTTCTGTAGGTATAGTCATAGATACACATATAGATACACATTTTTGCCGCTTGCACGTTCATAATGAGAAATCCCAACAGAAATTGTCATAACCGAATACCTCATCGTACCTACAACACCGCTGCGAAAACTATGCGTACAAGGAGAACAGAAACATCGCTACGGAATGCCTGGTTGAGAAATCCTATCGTGGGCGGCGCCCGTAACACAGAAGGAACGCTGTTCGCCATTGCGCTATAATCACCACCTTCAGATCCTTCAGGGCGACGGCAAACAGCAGCGGATCAAGCACCGTCTGCACGGAGTACATCAGATTCGCCGCTTCTTTCAGCACCGTTACATCCACACCCCAGAACGCCAGCAGCATCCAGTAGATCTTCTCAGGCGCCCAGCAGATGACAATACTACCCGTCAACGCCGTCAACACCCGGAAACCATGACTACTGTCCGCCGTCGCTTTCCCGTTGGGAACCCCGCCGTTTGTCACCGCCGGACTCTCCGTGACTTTCCCTAACTGTTTGCGTTTCCACAGCAAATACGGATACGACAGCAGCATGACGAGCATCGGAACGACGTATACCCACACGTCTACGAACCTAGATATGGCACAACCGGTAAATACATTTCTTTTTGTGTATGAAGCATTTTTAGGGAGAAACTACGAAAAAGAATCACCGAAATGACATACCGAACGCTTCATGACTACGGTCTACGGAGACAGCAATACCATCCGAAGTGTTGCTATTTCTGTATTTCTAGAAGTACAATGTAGGACTAAATGGTCGCATAGCCCCATACCCAGCATTCTGTACGCAAGCGGTGCAGTGCACTTGTACGAAACGGATATTTTGAACTCAGTCGTACAGTGCACTGCGCTGCATTCGTACTGAATGTGGAGATTTTGGGTATGCGACCATTTTGTCCTAAGCTGTACGATCGATGTTGTCTGTATGACGAAAAAGTGGAGATTTATCAAGGCAATCGACTACCAGAGTGCATGAGCAACAAAAACTTACCCAATGCGAATAAATCGCCTACACTTAATATAAACAGAAAAACGTTTGTTCGCACCGTATATGCGTTCAACCAGGCATTTATTTTGCAGTAAGTAAGTACATGACTGTTCTACAAAATATTGCTGTTTCGACGGTACATGTAGTTCCAGCTGGTTCTGTCATTCTAGTAGAGGAGAATCTGTCTAGTCGAGCAAAGCGAGCCATAATTTGCACAAGAAACTGTTTTTCTAATACATGAAGAAAAGCAACGTTGTATATGCTTTGGCACGAACCCGGCATACTGCGGTTGCGCGTCCATGGCAATGGTGCACTCCGTAGCGTTCGCCATCCCGGGGCGGTAGTACAGATAGTCTATTAGCAGTAGCGGCCCAGTTAGCAGGTGACAATATCCGAGCATCAGCAGGCAAAACAACACCGCGGTACGAATGGAATGATAGTTGCGGTAGTGGATGGGGAAGGTCGACGCCCAGATGCGATTGAGCGTGATAGTCAGGTGGCTGTGCAGAACAGCGGCCCCGCCCACCCATTCACTGTAGATGGCCACACTGCATAAGAACGAGGTGAAGTACCAGCGCTGTCGGGTGTAGGTTAAAAGATTGAGCAGATCCGCGAACGTCTGAAAGATGTTGGCGCATAACAGACTGATTAGGTACACTGCGAACGGGGTGTGCAAGGTGCGTTTGATGGCGAATAGAAGGAGAATGTATCCGTTCATGAGCAAGGTCAAGACGGTGAAGATTACTAGTGATGTTGTGGAACCGTTCCATTCGTACTTAATTTCGCTGGAATTATTGGCCATCACAAAACTCTCCATATTTCTTAACGTGGACTTTCTAGTTTCCCTCAATAATGGCAGCGTTAAAATATTGCATAGGCTTTGCTGGAAGTGATAGTGAATTGTTAGTGGTCCGGATGCGAGTTTTAATCAGTGAAGTTGCCTTCCTTGTTTACATTGAATCCCTTAAGGTTTCCGTAACAAGCGTTTGCAGTTTATTCAGCTGTTTCGATGTGTTAACTGGAATGAGTACACCTCCCTGTTTCAATTCATACTGCCGTAGTATCACACAGACATTCAGAATTTCGACCCGCAAAGCTCGTTAATACATCGCCTTCCTATAGTACAGTATAATATAACATTGCGTACCAGTACAAAACAGTGATGAAATGTTGAAATGATTGTATGCAGTGCACAAGCACATTAACGAAAATAACGGTGCTGAACGTATATCAACAAAGAAAAGCAATATGCATATGTACTTCTTCCTTCTAGTGTCTATTTAAAATATAATATGCAATGAAATATGTACATGATTATTACCAGTGTGCACGTTCTGTAGTCAACAAAACCAGGAAATGTCTGAAATTGTTATCCACGACGGCATATTAATCCTACTTTGGATTTAAATGCCTTACGAAGGCTTTTAAACGATAACGTAAGCAATATGGGATCCAAAACTTGCTGCAAGGAGTATATCACATCACCAAAGACTATCTGTAACACGTCCGGTATCGCAGTATCTCCGAACACCTTAAGAATCCCGATAATCTTGGTTGGGGTCCAACATATCAGTGTTATGAATGTAGTCGCCGTAAGGATCAAAAACGCATGCCGGTTTTCTTTCGCCGGTCTCTGTAAACTACTCTTCCCAATGATGGCAGCTTGACAATGGAATGTTTTCCCAACATCCATGGTTCTGCATAATAAATACGGATATGCCGCTAAAATGATCAGAACCGGAACATTATTGATCCAAATCTTTAAGAAGCGGCGCAGAACCGGCTGGGCGCTGCTGACTACCTCGCACTCGGTGGCGGTCTGCATATTGGGCCGATAATACAGAAGATCCTGTAATAACAACGGCGATAGTAATACGTGACAGTAGGTCCCCATCGTCAGGCAGATAACCACCGCGATCTGCGTGGAATGGTAGTTGCGGTAGTTCAGTGGGAAGGTCAACGCCCACATCCGGTTTAACGTGATTAGGAGATGCGCATGAAGGTCCAGGGCGCTTCCAACATGGTCAAAGTATATCTTCATATTGAACAGGATCGAGGTGAAGAACCAGCGCACCTGCCAGGATTCCATCATGAAGAACGGGTCCGCCAGGGTTACGAGGATGTTCGACAGGAGCAGGTTGATCAGATACACGGTGAAGGGCGTGCGCAGGCTGCGGCTTTTTAGGAAGAAAAATAGCAGGCATCCGTTTAGCGCCAATTTCACGACAGCGAAAACACCCACTGCTATAACAGGTCCGTATAATTCCACAGTGCTGGTGTTGGACACATTGGAAGACATGTTTGTGTCACTGAGACGCTTTCGATTTTGTCACTCAGAAACGTAATGACAGTGGAAGAGGATTTTTCCTGCATGTACTCTGTAAATACGTAGGTAACGTGGCTATAAATTGTCATCGCGATCCTGAAAACGCTGAAATAGAGGTCGATACAAAAAAAATGGGAAGCCGCATGAGCCGAACAACAACTACATTAAATGTTTGCCAAAGGGAATCCCCCAGGATTGCAGTTTTGCTTGGCCGTCGTAGTATTTCAACAGCCGATGACTTCAAAAATAGTTTTAATAACGATGCGGCCACGATGAAAAGGCTTTTCTCAAGTCGATGCATTTTATTTAATGTGGGAGCTGTACTGTTATAATTATTAGATTCCCTGGAAAATTAAAGACTTTTTCAAGAAGAGCGATGAGAAGTGTGCAGCTTAATAATTTAAGCACAAGTACATTATCAAGAAAGACAGTTTTATCAGCGAGTTTTTATTCCCTTCAGTTATACGCCTACGTAAGCATTAAGTTGAAGTTTGTCAAGTTGAGCGCTAAACATGCTAGTTATCCAAGCAAGCTAACGATTGGAGGGGACATCTACTGGCAGCTGCACAATCGGTGTAATGTAAATTTGACCGTTGCACGCAGGCGTTGTAACGATAATGTAAAGAGTATGGGATCCACTATCAGCTGCAAGGAATATAAGACATCATCCAGCACAATTCGCACCGATTCCGGCACCGTTACATCCCGAAAAATCCTCAAAATATTAAGAAACTTGGCTGGGCTCCAGCAGATTACTATACTGCCAGTTAAACCGGTAAGGATCCAGAAAGCATGCCGGTTTTCTCCGGATGCAGCCTTCTCTTTCCAGATTTCCGCGAAGTGTCCTCTGCCGCGGGGCAGTGGTGACGGAACCGTTCTGTCCTTGGTTTTCCATAATAAATACGGATACGCTGACACATTTACCAACATCGGGGCTGTATTGATCCAGATTTTCAAGAATCTGCGCAGAATCGGTTGGGCGCTGCTGACCACCTCGCATTCGGTGGCAGTCTGCATATCGGGTCGGTAGTATAGAAAATCTTGCAATAATAACGGTGATAGTAAAACATGACAGTACGTCCACATCGTGGCGCAGATCAGCACAGCGGTTTTCGTGGAATGGTGACTGCGGTAGTGCAGGGGAAAGGTCAAGGCCCACATGCGGTTAAGCGTGATCAGAAGGTGGGCGTGAAGAGTCACTGCACTGCCAATATGGTCCAGATACATTTTTATAATGCACAGTATCGATGTGAAGTACCAGCGTACTTGCCAGGATTCCAGCATGAAAAAGGGATCCGCCAGGGTAATGAAGATGTTGGAGAGGAGCAGGTTAATTAAATACACCGTAAAGGGCGTGCGTAGACGGCGGTTGTTTAGGAAGACAAAAAGCAGGCATCCGTTAAACATAAGCTTCAATATCAGGAAGACTCCCAGAGAGATGGCCGGTCCTGGGAAACCCTCGACAGTGATGTTGGATAAGTTGGAAGGCATCTTCTTGTACAGATAACTTAGTCGCCGTTTTCAAAAACGTATTGATAGTGCAGATGTGATACTGGCGCATACTTTGCATATGTCTAACTATTAACTGTTACCGGGATTAAGGTAACCGTGGATAGATATTCTTTCCAAAAAAATGTGCAGAGTCATTCCTGCTGAGCTAGAGAACTTTTACCAGAGTAATTCCCTTAGGAACGCCGCCCAAAGATTCGATTAAATATTTCAGCAGCTTCTGGCTTTAAAATTGACTATAGCATTTTGCATTCACAATATTACAGGATCTTTAAATAACGATGAATTTTGCTAATATTCCAATAATGCATGACGTATGCCACATCGTATACATATTGCCAGAAAATTTAGAGTTACTGTAGAAAAATGCGTTGAGAAAATTGATGTTATGATACTGTACAGTTTACAGTTACACTGATAAAAAGAGAAACACACGACTTAAAAGCTATAGCTGTATTAGCTATTTTGCTCACCAATAAAGCTTTATAATGGTTATCTTTCAAATTCTTTAACTTTGTTAGAATGTTATCCTTGTTTACATGCGTAAGCGTCTAATTTGTCTAAGCACTTTCACACCATAAAGGCTTGGGTTAGTTTCTCTATAATTTCAAATTATTTGCCTTGTAATGGTAGCATTGCCGCGCCCTGGACTATGGTTATAACTTGCTGACTCAAGTTTCTTGATGGTTTGCCCAGGGGATTCTTAACAGTGCTGTCTTAACGAATCCACAACGGAATATTGTTAGGTAATCAAGCAGGAACTCTGTTACCTGTCTTCCGCACGATCAATACCTGCCGATAATCATACAGCTTTGAAGTAGGTGCCATGCAACACCAACGAACGAAAGAACAAACAAAATTATGACAATGTTTTAATGGTACAAAACCGCTTTAAATGCTTTATCACACGGGTACGCACACGCGTCAGAGAAACCGTAAAAAGCATCGGATCCAGGATCATCTGGCATGTGAATATAACATCGACAAACGCTATATCAATCCATCTCGGCGTTTTAACGTCACCAAACACTTTGGCGATACTGATGACTTTGGCCGGGGTCCAGCAAATGAAAATACTGACAGTCAAAACGGTCAGCACCCAGAAAGCATGCAGGTTTTCTCTCGATTCCGCTTTCTCCTTCCTGATTTGCACGCGTCGCTCTGTTCCACAGTTCATTTGAGATGAAATTGTTTTCCTCTTCGTGTTCTTAGTTTTCCATAACAAATAGGGATAGGGTAACAGGATAACCAGCGCTGGCATTGTGTTAATCCAGATTTTCAGGAATTTCCGCAGGACTGGTTGGGCGTTGTTGACCACCTCGCATTCGGTGGCAGTCTGCATATCCGGTCGATAATAAAGCAGATCGATCAACAATAACGGCGCTAACAATAAATGGCAGTACAGTGTCATCAAAAGGCAAATGAGGATAGCGATTCTCTTGGAATGGTAGTTGCGGTACGACAGAGGAAAAGTCAGCGCCCAGATGCGGTTCAGGGTGATTAGACAGTGGGCATGGATACCTAAAGCGCTTCCCATATGGTCTAAATAAATTTTGATGTTACACAGTAGGGATGTGAAAAACCAGCGCAGTTGCAAAGATTCCATAATAAACAAGGGATCCATTGAAGTTTTAATGATATTCGAGACCAGTAAATTAATCAGATACACGGCGAACGGTGTTCTTAAGCTTCTGTTGTCCAGGAAAATATACAGCAAATATCCGTTCAGCAGGCACTTTACTGCAGCAAAGACGGTTATGGTCACAGCCGACGAATCGAATTGTTTATCCGTTAAATTGGAAATATTCACAGACCTATTTTTCATGAGGATACATTTACAGGCATCTTTTCTTAGCCTAATAATAATAATCATACATTTAATGTTAATTGCCTGTGAGCAGAGAAGCGGCTCACGTAAAGCGACAAAATCTTTCAAAGGATTTCAACGTATTGCGCCGTGGTGCAGTGGTACTGCCTACGCGGATCTAACGACGTAGCCGGGGTTCGATTCCACCATCGGCGCCTTTTTCAGCCGTTTCTCGGTTTCCCTCGGATTGCGCCCTGCTTAGATGGTAGCAGATCGTGGTTCGGTACGTCCACTTCGCCTATGAGACCAGTGTGCTAACCTCGAACGGGAGGAACAGAGCAAAAATGAATAAAATGATAAAATGAAAAGAGAATGCGGTGAGCCGGAGCCGCCGCTTAAAGGATCGCTTAGTCTCGCTACGAGGACGTAGCGAAAGCTGCAAAGGGGGTGTGAGCAGAGAAGCGGCTCACGTAAAGCGACAAAATCTTTCAAAGGATTTCAACGTATTGCGCCGTGGTGCAGTGGTACTGCCTACGCGGAACTAACGACGTAGCCGGGGTTCGATTCCCCCATCGGCGCCTTATTCAGCCGTTTCTCGGTTTCCCTCGGATTGCGCCCTGCTTAGATGCCCATAGCCTAGTGGTAGTACGTCTGGCTTTAAGATTGTATGTCCTGGGTTCGATTCCTAGGTGGGTAACTTTTATCTCATAAAATCAAACCAAAAAAAGTATAAAATTTTCAAAGTAAACAAAAAATTTTCCAATAGCCTGGTTTGCCCAACGGTTTTCACCTGAGGGTAATAAGTCTCCGTAATGGAGTTTGGCTACTGTAGTACGATAATAATAATAAAAAATAATAATAATAAATTAGCGGTGCACAGGTTTACGAGACACATCTGCATTCAGTAGGTTTCCAAACTAGCTCGGCGATGGTAACTGTACTACCCACGCGATTTTAGGCGATGACAAAGTTAAAGTTGTTTTCTCTGTTGATGACCGGAACAAGTGATTGCGCAGCTGCACTAACGGTACACTGTCATTCGTGGCTTTAAGCAAACATGCCAAACTTTTGCATTCAGCGGAGAAACTAGTTTCCGGTGCCCTCAGTGGAAACTAAGCACGCTGGTCACTTTACGAACAAAAACAAAGTAAAAAGAATTATCCACCATCCGATTTTTGTTCCGCTTGTTTATTTTGCCTGCTGAACCATTTTTATCATATACTTAAGTAAAATAATAAACATAGAAATACGAAGCGGTCTTTGGTTCCGCATGCTGACTTTTGCATGGGTTTTGAAAAAAGGCAGTTGGTCCAGTGAATGAATGCGACCCTTAGTGGCTGCCCAACAAAATTGTCCAAAGTCAACAAACTGATCGATGTTCCTCTGTATTATGTAGAAAGCACCTCCGACAGAACGCAGAACCGGCAGATTGACCACGCAAACTAACCCGTATCCAGTACTGGCGGAGTCGCCGATACGGGTTAAAGAAAATGAACCAGTACACGGTGTCAAAAATGGTATAGGTACATAATATATTAAACTTTCGCTTTCGCGCACTCCGAATCTTTTTTTGTAATATTTTATGTCATTCTAAAGCTAAATGATTTGTATACATTGCTCCGAAACAGTTTGCGCGCGCAACATCCGCTTGCGGAGATATGGCGGCCAGAGTCAAAAAGAGGGAGGAATTGTGAGAGGGAGGAATTTCTGCGTGGTCAAAAAGAGGGAGGAATTTTTGAAGCGAGGAAGGGAGGAATTTTGATATGGTCAAAAAGAGGGAGGAATTTTTTCGAAGTTCAAATGAAGTACTTAGGGACCTCGAACCCAGGTCTCCGAGGTCGCCACCATTATTTTGCTCATTATATACACGCTTACAAGGGATGAGTCGAACTGAAGTACTCGGGACCTCGAACTGGGTTCCTGAGGTCGCCACCACGAGATGTATCACATATGCACAGTTTGCTGTGCTGAGTCGATCTGAAGGGCTGGGGGTTCTTAGAACCGCGTCTCCCAAGTCGCCATCACGAGATATATTTTATATGCAAAGTTTGATGTGCTTTATCAAACACTGCTGGAGGACGTAGAAACCAGGAATATTTCTAAATAACCCAAAATTTCTAAAAATTTCTTAATATTTCTAAATATTTTCGCTGATATTTCTTATTATACATCTACATATCCCTAAATATATTTCAAAGTAATCCAGATATTTTTCGACGTATTCCTAACTATATTTAACATCTATAACTAAGAGCCCAACCTGCAACGCCGATCCTGCAGCTTCAGCGCATACGTGTTACTGCTTACGTGTTGATGCCTTATAAATTTTAAATTAAACCGCTCTCCGTTTGCCTTAAGGGCGTAGGAGACCATATACTAGGGGATATTACATATTATACGAGATTTCAATGAGTTTTACAACAAACCGGCACATCAAAAAGTCTCATTATGAAACATTATGTCATGTGTCGTTGTGTTACAATGCGTCATTCGCAGATAAAGGAAATGCGCTGTTGATTTGCTTTAAAAAATCAGTGTTTCAAATACTTAATACCGTTTTAGCAATACTTCGTTTTTCCACTGCAGTTTTAGAATCCAAACAGTGATAAAATAAAGAAACTTTATCAAAATATAGTATGAATTTATGATTCAAAGCTTGCGGTGACCATTAAAAAAATTTGATCTGAAGTGGTGATCGAATTTATCTCTACAGTAGCATTACATAAAGTAATTTGATTACAACATATTCAGCAGGGATAAAAACGTAGAGGTTCTAGATAAATAAAGTTCGGCATGCTAAATATTTTGATACTTAAATGTTTAGGTATTTTGAAGTGAAATGACAGTTTTAAAAAAGCTTGTTTTATTATCCAGTTTTATATTTGCGGTATTTTACTTTTCCGATATACTCAAACACTCTAATCAGAGTTTTAACGTCTACGGTTTACGTAACACAAAATAGCAGAGCTATTAAGGCCTCGTCCAGAATTTGAAGCGAATTTCGTTGCGATACAGCAACTCCACCTCGCGAGGTGGCTTCGCGTAACGTATCTGTAGGCGTGGCCACTGCCTACAGCCACTTCGTGCGGTTGAGCAACCGTACCATAACGAGATTCGCTTTGAATTCGGAACGAGACATAGAAATTATATTCAGCCCTTAACATTGGCAGTAAAG